ACCCCTCGAGTGCTGTGCTGCGCCCGTCTTTCCTGCAGGAGCGTGCCCGTGATCACATGTCTTTCCTGCACCAACGCAACTGCGATCATGGCCATCTCCCCACTCAGCGGGGTGGGAAGATGGCTGCGATCATGCTGGTTGGGGGGTGGAGATGGCCGAGGTTGCGCCCGTCTTTCCTGCAGGAGCACGCCCATGCCAGGGTTTCTTAGAGAAGCACCACCCCAACATAAATGTAACGAACAGAGTGTTGAATCTGATGAACAATAACATGGTCTCTCATTTCCGGAGGGTTATGCAGTGCAGGAAAAAACAAGTGATTATAGACAGATTTTTCACCAAAATTGACCCTGCAGCTAAGAGACAGAGAGGAAACCCCTGAAAGAGATCTCCCCAATGTCCTTAAGGAGGGGGACTGTCCCTCAAAACAATAATCCCCCCCCACCTAGGTTAGTGTTCTCCACTGTACTGTACAGAACTTTATTACTTTGTTTTTTGCCACTTTGTTTCAAAATTTCTGATAAAAAAATAGTTACAGAATGGATTAACCTTACTTACACTGAACCTTATGGGGAAATTTGACTTGGCTCATGACCAAAAACTGGCTCACAACCACATTCGGAGGGACCAGAATGGATTAACCTTATTTTCATTGAATCTTATGGGGAAATTTGACTTGGGTCCCAACGAATTTGCATCCCAACCAGAGTCGTGGAATGGATTAAGATCGTGAGCCAAGGTACCACTGTATTCTGCTATTAACTAGTCCAAGGACTCTCTAAGCGAATTACAATTTTTGCAGCAAGGAACCTGAAGGAAGGAACCTTACAGAACCCTCCTCCCATTCTCCATCTTATCCTGTGAAGTAGGTTAGGCTGAGAATTAGTTACTATCCTGAAGTCACCCAGTAAGTGGGCATCTGAGCCCCAGGTCACCCTAATCCCAGTCCAAGACTGTAACCATCACAAGCACAGAAATGACCCAGTTTAATTTCCTCCAGTACGTACTCTGTGGGTATTCATTTGGAATAGATGAGATTATGCTGGGTGGCCAGATTCCCAATTGGGAAAAACGCAATCCACTACAGGGACAGAATGAAGGGCGACATATTACGTAATATCACAGCTGGCTTTGCATGTCATGTGTTGCTAATGGCATTACTAGGCTAGATATTTTGACTCTAGCAGAGCACAGTGGCCAAGGATCATTTTGAACTGACAACCACTGAACTAGCTTGATCACATACTGTTAAAAATGGGGAACATGCGCCTCTCCAGATGTTGCTGCACTACTTCTATAAACCCTAGCCATCAAAGCCAATGGTGAGGGAAGATAGGAGTCGCAACTCAGCATCTGGAAGGCCACACATTTTTGCTTCCTGACACAGGGACAGGGATGAGGTGTGTCTGATTTTTAAAGTAATGGGGTGCATTGGACAAAGGCACTGACCCACAACCTCTCTGTGAACACTTTTCCCTTGGATTACTGACAAAAGAAAAGTGCTTCTAGGAAGTGGCGAGTCCAGCTTCCTTCATGAATTAAAAAAAATGGGATTCCCACCCTTATTTAAGCAATTAGCATAGGTCCATTTTTAAATACCAGAATGGCTGCCATCAAGTCTGGTTTGGCCCTAGGGGTTGAGCTATGACCACCTTCTCCCACCTGTCCCTTTTAAACCTTGCCTTATCCCCATACTCTCAAAAGCCAGTCTTCTTTCAGCTGCATCCTCCCCTCATTCCCACAATATAGGCATAAGGAAACCAGTCTACTTTATTGACAGTTATAGTAATTACAGAGATTACACTGTGAAAGGTGCTTAGTAGACTTGAAAACCTGTCACTGTCCTTGGTTCTTGTGCTGGCTTCAGGGCCAAGACACATATGAAGCTGGGATCCATGAGAGAATCCCAGCACCTTTTAGCAGTTTAAGTCACAGGAATGAAGGGCAGAAGGTGTGTGTGAGCTTTGAGGCAGCAGGACTAGAGAATGGTGGTCAATGTGATAGGACCGCCAGAAAGGCAAATGCAAGTTAGGCTGCATCAATCAAAAAAAGTATAATTTCTAAGTCACAGAAAGCAATAGCACTGCTCCAGTCTGTGCTAATCACACGTCACCTTGAATACTCTGTCCAGCTGTAGGCACTACACCTTTAAGGATTCACACAAACAGGAATGGCTTCCAAGAAAGGCAATAATGATTATCAATAGAACTATTCATTGATTTGAGCTGTAGCCCACCTTTTGAGACCCAGAACTGGCATTTGTACAAAAAGATTGGGGGGCGGGATATAACAACACTATTCAAGTGCCTAAAAGGTTGTCACACAGACCACACAACCTGTTTCCTATCATCGAAGAATGACGAATACAAAATAACTGACTTAACTGCAAAATGACAGATTTCAGCTGAATATGAAGAAAAAAACTTCCTAAGGGTCAGAGTCTGCTGCTTAGGTCTCTGCTTCTCTTAAAAAAGGATTGTTTAGAGCCCAACATAACCAAGCAGCAATTAAATGCTGGTGCATTCCTGCTCCCTGCCTGGTGCCTCATCAAGCCCATACACCAGCAGCACACAGAATCAGCAGACTGACCTACACTGGGGTCTCAAAATGCAACAAACATCACCCTCTTAGTGCATTTAGGGCATGCGTCTATCAATGGCTTCTCCAGCCCATTCCTGGTATGATAGAAAGACACACAGGAAGTTGCCAGCTCCCCTTGCTAGTCTTCCTTTTGTTCTCATTTCAGAAACACGGAACTCCAAACGAGCATCACTGCATGCTGTAGGCACTCTGAACAGTCCAAGAGGCCTCCCACCTGGGCCATTCCCCGCCTCAGCCAGGGGCCGCCCAAAGCGGGAGAGGCCTGAGGAGCAAGAGTGCCATCTACAAAGCATGCTGGTTCGCATCAAGGACCTGGGCTTGGGCTACAACTCTGAGGAGACCATCCTCTTCAAGTACTGCACTGGGAGCTGCTCCATGGTCCGCACCAACCATGACCTAACACTCTCTGTTCTGCTGCAGAAGAGCGAGATCTCAGCCTTGGGGGACCCATGCTGTCGTCCCACACGCTACGAGAATGTGGCTTTTCTGGATGACAGTAACCAGTGGCATGAAGTGGAGAAGCTCTCGGCCTCAAGCTGTGGCTGTGTGGGCTGACGGCCTGGACACGAGGGAGAAATGGATGCAGAGACTGGTGGGGAAGCTGCAAAACATGGTCATAGCTCTAGTTGTAGAAAAAGGCCCTTTTAAGTTGGATCCAATCTGATCCTTGACTCTGAAATGAGCTTTTAAGAGCAGTACCTTATAGCAAGAATGACCCACCATGGGATGCCAAAGTTGCTTGCATCTCCCCAATTCAAATGCAGAACAATCCCTCAGTATGATTCCTGCCCAATTAAGGGGAGATAAGGAGAACTTTTCTAAGCACTGTCATAACACACACCCCAAATCTGCTTCTCTTTGCAAACAAACAAACATGCTGCTGCTTTGACTAAAACCTGTCTGAGTAAGACCTAAGAATCTAGGGCAGCACCATGAGGGCTGAGCAATCTGAAATATTTATGTATTATTTCTAAGTTATTTAATTTATTTCTTCCCTGAATATAAGGAGGGGCCAGCAATTGCACTACCCTTGCCCAATTTGAATTCCCCATTTTATGCTCCTAAGTTATTCACCCGTTTCTCCTGTTAGAGGGCTGAGGTTATTAGTTGCAGTTCTGCAATTATGAATGAGTAAATATGTATATATTTGTGCCAATACAATAAAGACCAAGCAAGAACACAGAGTCTCCAATTTGGGGGTCACTCGTTGGGGGGAAAGGATCTTAGCTTCACAGCAGCAAGAACTAGATCTTTCTTTGTTGGGTGCTCCATGACTCAAGGAACACTAGATACAGAAAAGCAACAAATATCTGCTATAATTATTAAGCACCTAAGTTATACTAAACACCATGCAAAGATCAAGTAAAAACTGGCTCTGATGGCAAGCCTACATGCTAAAGACAGACAAAAGGGTAAAAAAATATTAAATTTCACAATCTGTCCAGTAGCACACACAACAGAGGCCCCTGTTTAGCAAGGATTGCATGTAACATAGATGGTATATATAAGAGATGGAAAAGAGAAAGACTGGAAGACAAGAAATATGGGCCACATACAGTGCACATTTAGAAATGGTTCCCTTGCAGCAGGCTGGAGTTGATTTCATTTCTCTGAAAAAATGGAGGACAGCTGGTCAAGGACTGATCATACTCCAAATTTTCTCCCATCCCGATTAGTTCAAGGAACAGATGAGCACTTCTCAGTTTCTTTTCACAGCCAAGATAGTCCTTCCCTCCTTTCTACGTCTATATTCCAGTTGCCTGTCACCTTCACAGACTTTTGATTATGAAAATCAACAGTGAATATTTCCTTTAACTGTTTCCACTCTTTGCACACCCACCATTGTCAGCACTCCAGTTAGGACACACTAGTTTAGGCCTTACCACTTAATTATTTTTAGGCTATATAAATGCTAAGGCTGCTGTTGAGTTGTTCATAATACTCCCTCACAGAACCCATTGAAGGGACACAACTAAAAAAACGGAGAACTCTGTCTGTGAGAAAATGTAAAATTCAAGTGCATCCCATCTTTGTTAAGGAGAAATTAGGAAATGTCTACCATCCCAGATGCTGTGAGGCCATCTGAAGATAGGCAGCACTGAATCTAGTTTAGTCAGTTGAGTGTTCACATCTGTGATCCACCAAGGTGAAGCATTCCACTTGACTTCTCAACTCAACTTCAGTAAGACAGGTTGTGACCCTCCGCTTTGTTGAACATACCAACTTTAGATCACCTTTATGAAAATGAATACAGTATGAAGGAGAGTGCTCCAATGCCTGAAGAAAAAGGAAAAAGTACTTATAAGAGAATGTATCACCTTTGCTGAATGGACTTTCCAACCCAATGACAAGCTCTACAGTCTGCATTAACTTTACCCCTGCTGGCTGCAACACACACCACAGAAGCAGCACTATTTTTTATTTCCTGAGATTAACAGTACAATCAAGTCCATTTCCCTAGCTCTTTGCAAGTTTCCCTGACCCAATCTGTTAGGAGAAAGCAAGCAAGCAGCCAGAGTCTTTTAAATCTCTCAATCTCCTTCTAGTGCATGGAGGAGAGTTTCCATCCCTCATTCCTGGTCACAAAAATTGAGTCCCAGAGAATGGCAGGTCAGTGCAAACATTTCAGAAGCAGCTCCTGGTCCATCAGAGGGGTAGCCTACATTACAACTGGAGAATAGTTGTCAGCTTCTACAATCTCAGTCTGCAGTGCTATGATGAATCAGGTGGCAAGGGCAGGTTTCGACAGATGACTGATATCCTTCGATCCCGGGGCACCTTCCTTCCATTGAAAAAGGATTCCTCGTCCTTGAGGATCTCATGGGTGAATTCATAACGAGCTGGCCCTCTTTGTCGAAAGAATAAATGCAGAAAATACCAGTATATTATCTTAATTTGAAATAAATCTTATCCCAAGCAGGAGAAAGACATCAAAACCCACACAATCAGAGGCAAACAAGACACAGTACCAAGACTCAGGAATTTCACATGTGGGTTCCTCTCATAGTCTTAAAAGAAACTCAGGTTCCATTTTCAGACACTGTCTGCAAAGCTGTTAACTTCCACTTACGAATTCTATATATGGCAGTGTATATTCCATCCCACTTCATGTATATGAAAGCTGGGTCTCTTCATTCATTTTTGATATTGGACCAGTTCAGATATAATGGGAAATCACTTTTCTGCTTTATAAATGAGCCTTGAATTCATGACTTTCCCTTTCTCCTCCTCCTGAGCAGCTGGAAGGAGGAGATTAGAAGCTTCCACTTTTAAACAAAACTGCCATGTCAGAAAATCCAAGAACTATTGCTTGTTAGAACAAGCCAGAATCTGAAACCAGTTTAATCTTGATTTGTTCTAACAAACCACCTTCCCCAAGTGTAGATGTAACACAGAACTTGGCTTAAAAGCAGAAGCGGTCGCTTGTGATCTCCTCCTCCAGCTGCAGAATAGAACAGGAGCTCAATGAGGAGGATACACATGAGCCCACGGCTCAGGCAGATTAATTCCAGTGACCAGTCCAATACTCCTTCAGATAATGTGTTATTAATTTATGGCAGGCTTCTCCAATGTGGTGCCCTCCAAATGTTTTGGAAAAGAACCTCCATCAGCCTCAGACAGTATGGTTAATGGTCAAAGATGCTGAAAGTAGGAAAATACCAGGTTGGGCTAGGTTGACTTATGCCACAAAGGATGAGAATGGCAACAAGGAGAAAGTTAGGTTTCTATCATTTCATCATCATAATACCCAGATGCAGCTTTTCTATTCAAAGGCAGTAAACCACTACAAACAGTGCTTGGGATTGTCAGCACTACAGAACACTACATTAAATAGATTTCTGATCCAATCCAGTAGAAGGTAGGACTTGTCTTTTTGATTGTTAGAACTTGGGAGAGGGATATGCTATGTCTGAAAGGCAGAACAGATACCAAGAAGCAAGTGCATTTTACAATACAGTGGTAGAAGAACTTCACAGGTGAACAGGTGTATCTACAGCTACAATGCATGACAACTAAATGGAACACAATGCAGATATACAATGTGCCCTCTGGTTAAAAACAAAAAGCAGGGTAACAACACAGTTTTCTTGGAGACATCTGGCTAGCCACCATGAGAAATGCTAGACTAAACAGAGTCTTGGTCTCAACTAATCAAGCAAATTTATGTTGCTTATTACCTAAGAATGTAGAGAGATCGGCGCTCCAGCAGCAGATCCAGCCAGTCTTGTGGATTCTGTTCACTAACCAGACGCATCACACTTGAGGACAGCAGGGAAAGGCCTGCAATGGTGCAGCCACAGAACTAGCAGGTGGAAATGCATAAAACTGTGAGGTCAAGATAGTATGAGTTTGACAGTATTTCCTAATCACAACTGATTCTAATCCCAGAATATTAAGGATGCCGAAACTTTATCCAGAAAATGGGTGCAGCCATCCTTTAACTTCTTTCAGGAAAACAATAACCAGAGACATGAGGAATGGGAAAAATAATCATGTGGCATTCTAAGAAGATATTTTTAAAAACCTGAACTAGGTTTTTATGCTGCCAAAAAGTACCCGGAACACAAAGGAGTTTACTTCTGGGAAGACATGCATAGGATTGCACTGCAAGTGATTTTTATAGTCTAAATTGTCATAGGCAACAACCTCTATCAGCTGCGAAATTAATTTTCATCAGAAAGATGAGGCCTGAGGGGAACTGACAGGTTTAGGTCTCACTGAGATGGGAAAGTTGTGTTTAGAACGTACAACTGGAGAAGCTCACGACTGAAGGGTTCACTACGGACAACAGTTTTCTGCACGGACAAAACTGGCATGTCCAGGTGATCAGGTTGGAGTCCTCTGGACTCACATGCTAGCATTCTACAGGGAGGGAACTGTTTTGTATGAAGGAGCTCTTGAGCAAACCTCTCCCAACCTGGTGCTCTCCAGATACATTGGACAACAACTCTCACCATCCCTGGCCAACAGGGCCAGAGAACACTGGGTTGGAGGCTAACACTAGCCTTCACCTGCACTCTTAAATGTTACACTGCAAATCCAGTTACTGCCCCATCTAAGAGTTTACAACATTTTTCAGAGTGCCCAGCACCAGAAAAGGCAATTGCTCTTCCTCAGAAAGGCAACTTGATCTCCGTGTCAGATAATTACTGGAGCCTTGCACCACTACCCCAGGATATCCCTCCCTTCATGATCAGTGTTTGGTATCTTTCCATCCGGACCTACACTAATTTGTTTTATTGAGCCCATGAATTTTGCAAATGATCAATCACCAATGTCACAAGTTGCACAATGTACCTCTGGAGTCTCTCAGGCAACCCTAATTTTCAGGTTTTTTTCTGAGGGGAAATACTCAGGAGTACAGTCAATCCCTTGTATGCGGTTACCTTGACACTGTCTATATGAGGTTTTATGTACCCGGTTTTATCCAAATCCAAGACATGGACTAGAGTAAGCTGTGGTACTCCTGGTGGGAAAGCTTCATCTCGAACTCTTTGCAAGATCGCTTGATTCTCTTTACTCCAACGTGATTTTTCTGTCTCACGGTACTTATGAATGGCCTGCAGAAGAGTAAAACCTGTATTACAATATGAAAAAGGAAAGAGGAAGTCACCTACAACTCTGGCCTTGTTCACATGACCTGAGCTATCACCAATAAAAACCATAGCCACATTTGCCTGAAACGCAATGCTTTTCAAACAGAACATCAAATACCAAATTACCACGGGGAGTAACATGCATTTGAGCTAAGCCTAACACTAAATTTGGAAGAATGAACCTTGAAGCAGTAGCTGCAAGAGAAAACAGTACCAGGATAAAAAAGCAGCATCAAATTCTTTCAAGTTAAAATGCCATTCATTTGATGACTTCCAAAATAGAAAGGAGGAATTATGGATTTAATACCACAAACAGAACTTACATCAGATCATTCCAAAAACTGCGGTTTTTCTTTTTTTCATCTAACAATCTGCCCGTTCAGAGCTAGTTCACACAAATACAGACATAACTCAAATCTATTTTATTTACTTATTTAATCTGTACACCACAGATCACTAAGTTCCAGAATTGTTCCTATTAAAGAGAATATATTAACAATAAAGATATGGTAAAACAACAGTACAGAAACAGCAGCATCAAAATCTTCCAGACCATTTATTTGATTAAATATTCACTTGCGGCTGAAATGTGTAAAGTGAATCCATGAAAAAGCCCTACTGCTGAGGCAGTATGTTTATTCTTACTGGTATCATCACTAGACTTGAGAGTAAGCAAGTTCATAGTTTCATCCTCTCTTAGGTGTGTATTCTGTTTTCACAAACTAATTACCTACTTTACCCAGGTCGTCAGCTTTTTGTCAAACAGGAAAGAAGGGATGGTAAAGCTGCCCTGCTGGATTAGACCAAAGGCTTAAATAGCCATTGTTCAGTTTTCTAGAACTCCTGGGGAGGCCACAAGCAGGATAGTGCAATAGTCTTTGTTCCCCAGCAACTGGTAATCAACTGCAGGTTCAAACAACATGATAACCCAAGCTCAAGGTTTGAGTTGGGTTGTCACTGAGCCATAGTTGGCCACTGAAACAGATTAATGCACTGTCTGAAGTGGTGGGGAAAACAGGATGGTTACAAGAAGAGGTAACCTAGCCTCTTCTGAAAAAGGTAGCATAACATTTGGTGTATGAGGAAGGGCAATCATAGGGTAACAGCTTTGTTTGAAAGTCCCCTTTTTTGAAACACTATTGACATATTGAATGTGCAAATTCCATAAAGTGCAACAGAATCAGCCCTGGCATTAGACTGAGTGAGAGGCTGCCTCAATGAAGGAGCCTGTCCCATCACCAGTGTAGCTGTAAGATTCAATTGCCAGTTTTGTCAGATTCTGTAAGTGGAAAAGTGATGGCCGCTTTTTCCTTCACCTCAGGAAGTAAACTGTCTTGGCCCAGTCTTGGTATGAATAAGTATTTTCTGCTGCCTGGTCCAAATCTAGAGACCACTGATTTTTTTCTGCAGCCCCTCAGGTGGATGAAGGAAACACTCCCGTGCAAACACACTTTCTCTTGGACTGCATGCACGCATTTCCCAACCTTATCATGTTCCTTTTCAGTATTCCTTCTGTTAAGCCAGAGGCAGGGAACTTGCAGCCCATCAGATATTAGTGGCCAACTCTCATAATCCCTATAGGCCATGCTAGCTGGGGCTGATGGGAACTGGGCGTTCAACAGCAGTTGGAGGGCCACAGACTCCCCAACCCGCCTTCCCTAACCCAGCTCCATCCGTGTTTCGGACTACATCCACCAGAGTCCTCCAGCCGACTGGGAGAAGCGACTCCTCGTTTGGGCCGCGTTTTCCGAGCTCCTTTACTAAAAAGAAAAGGAGAAAAAGGAGGCGGCGTCAGCCTGCCCAGGTCCACCCACCCCGTCCCAATGCTCGTTTTCGTAGCGACGCCGCTGCAGCTGCGGTTCCACCTCCCGAGCCAGCAGCGCCTCCTCTTCTTCGCTGAGGAAGGCCGGCACCACACGCGCGCCGCCCGCCCGCAGCCTCCGCCACAGCGCCTCGCTCGACGCTCGTACTTCGCCTGCCGGGAGCGCCTGCGCCTCGCCGCCCGCGGAGAGCCCCCGCGCGCTCCGCGGCAACTGCTGCAGGGCCCGCGGCCGCAACGCCAATAGGCCGCGCCACCCCATGACGCTGTGAACCCCAGGCGGAAACGCGGGGCGGGAAGAGCCTGGCGCGGTGCATGACGGACTGTCCCCTGCCTATTTGCATGCCGGCATCCGGCTTTTGCGTGCAGGCCAGAGCCCACGTGATCGCAAAGCGGCGCGCTCGGTGTCGGTGAAACTCTGCAGTTCTACTCTTCGCCCTTCTCGAATAATCAAGCTACGATTACTTTATTCCTGCTGTTTGAATCTGGTTTACTCGACTCTAGTTCTTACCGGTTTGGGAGGCTTTCTTCGTTTAACTTTTAAATTGCATATTTATATTGGGTTGGATCCAGATACTTGGTCATACTGAGAGTCAAACCATAGAAATCAGTGGGACTTGGATTAGTCACTGCTAACTTAGCGTTAGGTCTACCAAAGTGACAGGTACCCAGGCCTTCAGTAAATTACTGGATCCAAATCGGTATATTTGGCTGTTACAAGTTTATTGCTGTAAGCCTCTAGATAGCCCTAGTGAAGGGCAGTTATAAAGGATAATGAAGATAAGTACACAGTAGTGGTCAACATTTTTTTCATTCACTGCTTTTCACTCTATTCCCTGGGTTACCTGGACTGATGAAAACTAGGCACCATCTAGCAGGCACCAGGGTGGTGAAGGCTATCTTTTTATATATCCTGGTGAGCAAGGCATTTGGGCTTCAGTTCCTCCTAAGTAGACTGTAACAGAAACAATTAGGTTGAACTCACTTGCACAGTACCTGGATTCTTGTCAGTCAGGATATTAGCTGGGCCCAAGGCCTGAAATCTTAAGGATGATCCTGGCTGCAAGCACACTGCAACCCTTCCCTACATCAGGCCAGAGACCAGGCATTCTCAAAATATTTGTCTCTTTATTATTGTAACAAATTAGGAACCTCTAAAAGAGATTCTTATCTTAGCATCCCAACCACCAAGATAAAGCTTTGAAAGAAAACAATGTGGCCTATACTCAACTACACTCCCTGTAAATTAGCAGTGGCCTTTTCCCACAGCACATCCTTAGATAATGGTTGGGATTTAAAAACTCTTAAAAGCAAACCTGTCAGGTAAAATTCAGATACGCCTCAGTGAAGCATTTCCCAATAGCACACTTTGGCTAGCAATAATGATAGAGCTTCTAGGCTGGCAGTTTAACATTATCCTTGCATCTGCATGTTATCCTTCCTTAAGTAGAAGCAATACATCATTTCAGCTATTCCAAATGAGGGAATAAAGTTGGTGACCATTGCTACTGAAGCTGAAGAATTCTGCAGCAACAGTGTGGTTTCCTATGACAACAATGACTTCCTAATCTACAAGCAGTTGTCCAGGAAGTGATCTGAAAGTTCACCATGAAGACTGTCCTTCATAGGCATTTCTGTCTGAGAAGCTGTTTCTTGGTGGTTCTCCTTACTCTGGCTGAGCTGTTGCAGAGGAGCTGGCCTAGAAAGAAGAGAGAGAGGGAAGTATACAGGAGAGTCTCTCTTTTGATAACCCTTTTCCTCCTGGCCCAGCCCAAGTCTTAAGGGGTCAGAAAAAAAAACATACAGAAACACACCCCAACAACTATCTTTAGAAAGCCACAGCTATGGATGGCTGGGATAGTTGCATCCAAAACAAAGACATTAAAGCAGGCTGAATGTGTCTACTTAACAGAGAAAGCATGAAGCAGCAAATTTTTTAAAAGGTAATGCCAAGACAAAATTAAAACCTGGATACCTTTCAGTGAGATGCTGCAGTGCACAAACATGGCCTTGTCTGAAGCAATGTGCTACCCTCCCACAGCTATATGAGTTGAATGTCCTCCCATTGCGAAGGCATTCCTAAAACTCTGGCAGGATTTTCATCATGAAGTCACTCTCTTCCTTGCTGCCTGACAATGCTAGGGATAAATGACAGCCTTACCAGTGGTTTGGAAGGAGTGTCTTCTGCCTGCCTGCGGCTAGAGGCAAGCCATCTTCTACTGAAGCGCTCTGCTGGGATGTGGCATGGAGTGATGATAACCTTTGGGTAAGGGGTACAGATGGGTTTGGCCCACCTCCTTAGCTTGGGCAAGTCTTCATGTTCTGTAGTCAAGGAAAGAAAAGCTTGAAGGCCAGAAGGTAAAAGCAACCTTTCCTTAACGCAATGTCCTCCAGTTGATTTGGACTACAACTCCCATCAGACTCAGCTGGTATGGATACTGTTAAAGGATACTGGGAGCGGTAGTCCAGAAAGATACAAACGTCTTATGTCACCACTTAAGGCATAACCCTCTGCGTGTTTAGATGGAAAAAAAGCATACAATTTCCAGCATATCTCAGCCAGCATGACTTGCTGGGAATTGTGGACCTTTTTTCCTATCTAAACACGCCTTGGACTGTGCCCTTGGTCTTAAAATAAAACACTAAAGTGCCGCAAATTGCATTCACCTTTCCTTGTATGGAAGGATAAGATGCATTAGTATGCATAAGATCCTCCAAGAGGATCAGAGGTAGTGAACTGCTGCTGTGTAAGAAAAGAAGGCAAGGGGAATGCAAGATCAGTGGGGTAAGGTGAAAAGAGGGAAACTGAAAGAACATTTGATTACACATGCAACTCTAATCTGGTGCTCTTTGCAGTTAAATCTTGCATGTTTGCCATAACCTCATTTTCTCTCTCTGATTGGTACTGATAGTCCTCCACAAAACAGATGGCGTGTGTGATCTCCAGTAAAAACAAAGTTTGAAGTAAAACCTGTGAGGAAGGGGGAGAGAACTCTGGAACTCCACTGGAATCCCAGGGAACTCTGTCCACGAAAACGTGGGAGGGGCCAACAAGCCACAGCAGGTCCCATCATCTGTTGCACAAACTGTAAGCTGGTAATGCAATAACCAACCCATTGTGGCTTCTTGCCAGGGTGGGGTAGAATGCCATGCAATGATGCCCAGCCCCTTCATGGATCACTGCCTTGACATGGCGAAGGGGCTTGTGCAGCTCAATGAAGCTATGCCATGCAGGGGCACCCAAGATGAACAGGTCATAGTAGAAAGCTCTGACAAAATATGATCCACTGGAGAAGGAAATGGCAACCCACTCTAGTACCCTTGCCATTAAAACATGATGGGGGCTTTTGGTACCTCATTGACAGTACCAAAAGCCAAAAAGCTATGACGCCAGAAGATGAGCCCCTCAGGTTGAAAGGTGTCCAATGTGCTACTGGGAAGGGCAGAGGGCTAGTACTAGTAGCACCAGAAAGAATGAAGCGACTGGGTCAAAGCCGAAAGGACACTCAGTTGTGGATGTATCTGGTGGTGAAAGGAAAGTCCAATGCTGTAAAGATCTATACTCCATAGGAACCTGGAATGTAAGACCTATGAATCAAGGCAAGCTGGATGTGGTCAAACATGAGATGACAAGACTGAACATCGACATCTTAGGAATCAGTGAACTAAAATGGACGGGACTGGGTGAATTTAATTCAGATGACCATCAGGTATACTACTGTGGGCAAGAATCCCTCAGAAGAAATGGAGTAGCCTTCACAGTCAATAAAAGAGTAGGAAAAGCAGTACTGGGATACAATCTCCAAAATGACAGAATGATCTCAGGTTGAAGCCAAGGCAAACCATTCAACATTATAGTAGTCCAAGTCTATGCCCCAACCACTGGTGCTGAAGAGACTGAAGCTGACCGGTTCTACGAAGGCCTACAACACCTTCTAGAAATAACACCAAAAAATGATGTCATCATCATGGGGGATTGGAATACTAAAGTAGGAAGCCAAAAGATAAATGGAACAACAGGCAAGTTTGGCCTTGGAGTACAAAATGAAGCAGGGCACAGGCTGGCAGAATTTTGTCAAGAGAATACGCTGGTCATAGCAAACACTCTTTTCCAACAACCCAAGAGATGACTCTACACATGGGCATAACCAGACAGTCAACACAGAAATCTGATTTCTATGTGCTCTGCAGCCAAAGATGGAGAAGCTCTATACAGTCAGTAAAAACAAGACCAGGAGCTGACTGTGGCTCAGAGCATGAGCTTCTTGTTGCAAAATTTAGGCTTAAATTGAAGAAAGTAGGGAAAAGCACTAGGCCACTCAGGTATGACCTAAATCATATCCCTGATGAATATACAGTTTAGGTGGCAAATAGATTTAAGGAATTAGATCTGATAGACAGAGTGCCTGAAGAACTATGGACAGAGGTTTGTAACATTGTACAAGAGGTAGCAACTAAAACCATCCCAAAGAAAAACAAATGCAAGAAAGCAAAACGGCTGTCTGAGGAAGCTTTACAAATAGCTGAGGAAAGAAGGGAAGCAAAAGGCAAGGGAGAAAGGGAAAGATACACCCAACTGAATGCAGAATTCCAGAGAATAGCTAGAAGAGATGAGAATGCCTTCTTAAATGAACACTGTAAAAAAACAGAAGAAAACAATAGAATAGGGAGGACCAGAGATCTCTTCAAGAAAATTGCAGATATGAAGGGAATATTTCATCCAAAGACATGATAAAGGACCAAAATGGCAGGGACCTAACAGAAGCAGAGGAGATTAAGAAATGGTGGCAAGATTAGACAGAAGAACTATACAAGAAGGATCTTAACAACCATGATGGGGTGGTCACTGACCTCGAGCCAGACATCCTAGAATGTGAAGTCAAATGGGCCTTAGGAAGTCTGCGCAACAACAAAGCTACTGGAGGAGACAGTATTCCAGCTGAGCTATTCAAAATCCTAAAAGACGATGCAGTAAAAGTGTTACACTCAATATGCCAACAAATTTGGAAAACTCAACAGTGGCCACAGGATTGGAAAAGGTCAGTTTACATTCCAATTCCAAAGAAGAGCAATGCCAAACAATGTTCGTACTACTGCACCATTGGACTCATTTGACATGCTAGCAAAGTTATGCTCAAAATCCTACAAGCTAGGCTCCAGCAGTATGTAGACTGAGAACTACCAGAAGTACAGGCAGGGTTTCAAAGAGGCAGAGGAACTAGAGATCAAATTGCCAACATATACTGGATCATGGAGAAAGCTAGGGAGTTCCAGAAAAACATCTACTTCTGCTTGACCATGCTAAAGCCTTTGATTGTGTGGATCACAACAAACTGTGGCAAATTCTTAAAAAGATGGGAGTACCAGAACATCTTATTTCTTTCTTGAGAAACCTGCATGCGGGTCAAGAAGCAACAGTGAGAACTGGACATGGAACTACTAATTGGTTCAAAATTGGGAAAGGAGTATGGCAAGGCTGTGTACTGTCGCCCTGCCTATTTAACATATATGCAGAGCACATCATGAGAAAGGCAGGGCTAGATGAATCACAAGTTGGAATTAAGATTGCCAGGAGAAATATCAACAACTGCAGATATGCATATGATACCACTCTAATGATAGAAAGTGAAGAAGAACTAAAGAGCCTCTTGATGCGGGTGAAAGAAGAGAGCACAAATGTTGGCTTGAAACTCAACATCAAGAAAACTAAGATCATGGCATCCGGTCCTATCACTTTCTGGCAAATAGATGGGGAAGAAATGAAGGTAGTGACAGAGACATCACACTGTCGAGAAAATTCTTATAGTCAAGGCTATGGTTTTCCCAGTTGCAATGTATGGTTGTGAAAGCTGGACCACAAGGAAGGCTGAGCACTGAAGAACTGAGGCCTTTGAATTGTGGTGCTGGAGGAGACTCCTGCGAGTCCCTTGGACTGCAAGGAGATCAAACCAGCCAGTCCTAGAGGAGATCGACCCTGACTGCTCTTTAGAAAGCTAGATACTGAAGATGAAACTCGAATACTCTGGCCACCTAATGAGAAGGAAGCACTCACCGGAGAAGACCCTAATGCTGGGAACAATCGACAGCGAAAGAAGAAGGGGACGGCAGAGAACGAGGTAGGTAGATGGAGTCACTGAAGCAATTGATGTGAGCTTAAGTTGACTCCTGTCCTCCACCATACCCCAAAGGCCTGGAGGAATGTTGTCCATGGGGTCGCGATGGGTTGGACGTGACTTCGCAACTAACAACAATAATAATGATGCCCAGAGAGGTTTCAGTTTAGAGGTGAGCAACTTCAAGAGGTACGGAGTCCATTTTCACCCTCTAGGCAGAGACTGAATTCTGCTGAAAAATGGATTCCTGTTGCCATCAGGGAAAAATACTGCTTAATGAAAAGAACCTTTAAAAAGTAGAAAATAGACGAAGTCTAGAGTAGGGTCTCAAACTTGTGGTCTGTGGGCCAATGGATGGGCGGGGCATGGGGGAGGGGCCCTGCAGCCTTCAAAGCGCCAGTGGCACCCGGGCCGGACGCAGGATGAGTGGCCCACCACCACCGCAGTGGTGGAATACTTGATGTGGCCCAGCCTCACCCAGAGACTACTTCCAGTGGCCCCCAGGTCAGTTGAGTTTGAGACCCCTGGTCTAGAGCATTACAGAGCACACATAGGAGATATCTAGCTGCTTTGCCAGCTATCTTTGACCCTTTTAAAGCTTCATAGCAGCAATGAAGCCCTAAAAGGATGAAAACTACATCTAGTGTTTGACACTCCACAATGTTCCATATGGCATTTTTTCCTTAAAATTATTTACTGTTCTTTTTTTAATGGAGGGGGGGCACACATTGCCCACCTTTGCTTCAGATATACATGTCCTATAGGAAACCTTATGTGTAGCCATAGGAAAATGCCATTAGCATGCAAGGCATATGCCTAGTCTGAAAAAATAAATTACCTTGCCCCTCCCTGACAGTCACTGGGGCTGAAAATCTCCGCTTTGGGTCACTTGTATCCAACCCTGGCAATGAACAGAAGAATTCTTGTTTTAGGAAGAGGGCCTTCTGTTCGTCGAACTGTTTTCTCTGTTAAAAAGAGATAGGATATGCCACTTTGGACTGTGGCTAGGGGCTCAGATGACTAAATACTTCTACATACCCCCCCCCCAATCCCCCATATAGAAAAAGTGTTGACCTGGAGAAGGGTTCTGGCTTAGCCTTCTTGCTAACATTTTAGTCTATACAAAGGAAATTTGCTTTAATTCTCCAGGGAGGAAGACAAAAGATGCACAGTATGGACATATTCTAAAATCCAGCTGGGCAATACCATGATGTCCCAAAATAACAAGCAAGCTTTTGAGCACAGCTGACTAGGGGATTATGGGAATTGTAATCTAGCACATCTGGAGGGCACCATCTACCTGATCTATGGGTTTAAAGGAGGCACTACCGTCACAGGCTGTAAGGGGGGTGGAGGGAAGGGTGAATATGGCAGCTTGGTGTCAGTCCTCTCAGGAAGCAGCTGCTGCCTACCTCCCATCCAAGCCGAATGGCTGCCTCTGTAAAGTTTTCCCGTTCTGTTTCAAAGGCCCGCTTCTGCTCCCTGAACATAGCCCACTCCTCCTGCAGTTGCTGCTGTTCCTCTAGGAAGTAGGAGCCCTTCAGCTGCGGTGGGAGCTCCGAGTTGGCTGCAGCAGTCATTTGCTCCTGAAAGCCAGAAAGCTGTTCCAGATCACTGAGGACTCACGGGAAAGATTCCCTCACTGAAATCCCTCCCCCATTGAGTCTGCCTTCCCATCACTAGCTGCGACCCCTGGCACCTTCTTTCTCATGGTTGCTACCACTTGCTTGAGAGGCAGAGAACCAGGGATGAGGCAGTCCATGGCTTCATTCTCACCCTCCATGTCGAGTGGGACAGAGGAGAGGCAAAAGAGCATGTCCTGGGGCTCATTAATGGTTTCTGCTAGGCTGAGGGTCCCCTGGCAGCTGCCTGACCATGTCTGTCTCTGATGAAGTACCTAACAGAACTACAGTTCCCAAGGTTTCCTGAGAGGTGACATGGAGAACCCATTTTCAGGGAAGTTGTGCCTTTTAATGGTTCAGCCACAAAAGGGAACTGAGAGGCCAGTGTTCAGGCAGTGAAACTTCCCAAGAACCTGCTATTGCTGGAGATTAAGCCATAAAGTTAGAATAGGTTTCTCCAATGCTTTTGGGGGAAACTTTTTACTCAGAACCCACCTTGATTCCCCCAAAGGTCTTCCATTTCTCAGCTAAGCTCTCCAATGCCACATTCAGAGATTCCCCTACCCCTCCCTTATATTCTTAGCATGCGAAAAGAGGGTGGTGCATCATTCATCCACTTCATGGCAAGAACTTTGGGGGAGTTGGGCGGATACATGTGTCATACTTGTGCATATCCTTTTTTTTTTTGGGTGGGTAAAGGTAGCTATACAGATATAGTGTCTGTATGTACTATCATTTCCTGCCAAAAAGCATTCTTTTACCCCTAACCCTAAATCTACAACCATCAAAGTTAACTAGGCCTATAAATTGGGCAGCTCCCATTTCTGCATGTTCTCAAAGTGGCAGAATCTCAAAAATGAGTGCAAATGTGAGGGCACCCTCAGGAGACAAGAGTTCCCTGCAAAACCACAAGATCACTCTTTTTCTAACCCAAGCCATCCCAATTGCAACTGTTCCTCATAGGGATGGCACTCCAAAGGAGCTATCTGTAACTTTCAAAACAGGAATCTTGAAGGGCAGTTTGGCAGGGAACATTTCAGATCTCCAGAAGCAGCAAAAAAGTTTAAAAATGAGAAAAAGCAGCTTGGGATTGGAGCGAGGTGTGGGGCAAGTCAGTGCCAGCTGCCCCTAAGCACCTTTTGGGAACACTGGGGGCAGCTGGCGCTGGCTGACATCCAGAATCCATTTGGCAAGAGTGGCAGGGGGGTTTGCCACTCTTGACAAGTGGCTCAGCAGTCAGTTCGTATACCTGCAACAGGGTCAGTTGCCTTGGATGAGATGGTATAATAACCGACTGTAGGTGCAACAACCCTACAACAGCCCATGGGTCATTGGGCAGCTTGTTGCCCATGAACAAGCCACACTTGGGAAATGGGTGCAAGTTTGCATGACACTACAACCCAGCATGGCTGCAACAAACCCAGCCGTTGTCTGAACTGGAGAAAGGATTCTCCCTTACACATCCAGAGCAAGACAATCCATATGGGGCACAGCATGTACATATATCAACTCACTGTGATTCTGCTCAAGCACAAAAGAATTCTGCTTCCTGAGGGCCTCCATTTTCTAGGTTCTTGTGACTACAGAAATAACTTTTAACATTGATCAATGCCTTAAAAAAACAGTGGATGTGTTTAAGGGCCCTGAAGAGCTCCCTGCTCCCTACTGTGCATATTGAACGTTGACGAATAATCTCACTCCTGCCTGTGATTACCTGAGCCAATTGTGCTACTTTAACACATTAGAGTGGCATGAAAAGGGCCACACAACCAAAGTTTTCCTTCTCTTGGAAACACAGGCACAGCCGAGACCTTTCTTTACCTGGAAACACTGCTGCTGCAGCATGATCAGTGCTCTGCTGTCCTCAATCTCCCTCCTCAGTTTCAGTATTTCCTTGTCATGATCTGTCACACTGATGACAGGGTCTTGCCCATCTCCCTCATACATTTGGGTACTAACAGCATTCACAGCTGGGGAGTGAAAGACACAGGCGGCAGAGTTCAATTGCAGGGACGAGAATTCTACTTGCAGGAGGCTGGGTAAGGGAAGCTGCCTCTGGGAGGTACTTATTTCAGGAAATCTGAACCAAGACTTTGAATGCATTAACTTGACAGATGTTTTACAATTCAAGACTAAAACTACACTGAAAATGTTTTCAGACGTCTGGGCTGAACTCTGCTATTGTCGAGTAAGCCACCATTTCACTGCCTCAGTTTCCCATCTCTAAGGTGGGAACAAACAGTGATATGCCTCGCAGGGTTGTTGTAAGGACTGAACTACCCTACACATATTAAAGCTGATAAAATGTTTATCTCATACAGTATGTTTAATGCATACACATGCATACCTTAGAACCCATTTAGGTGATATTAAATGGCTTAAGGTAATCTGGTACGTTATAGCATTTTCACCTGTTGTGTCCCAAACTAACATAGGTCTGTTTCAGAACATGCCCACACCTGGCTAAACTAGGCTGGATTATAGCAAGATTACAGCACCATGTTTTGATATAAGCAGGTGTATTTGTTTTCAGTAAATTGTCTTGAGTGGGAAGCAGTACAGGAGGATTACAGTTAACTTTGTTTTTGAATTACAGCCAACCAGAATCAAAGCTCACTAGAACAAGCAAACAAAGAGAAACTGGTGAGGTGCTAAAGTCACATACCCTGGCAAAGTTTTGTCCTTTGAGCTTTCTTTCCAAAGGTTTTACTATGACCACAAGGGGGCTTCCGTAGTCCATCAGTGATTGTTTTAAAAAGGCATGAGACTGTAACTAAGCTTTGGGTGCTGTGTACATTCCTGTTTCCTCTAAAGCTCCTCTTATCTTGTGTACCCTGGCTAAGTTGTTAAACAGATGATTTCCAGACTGAACAACAGCAACACAAATAGAACCTGCAACAAAATGTTGCAGTATCGTGTGCTGCGGCTCAGGATTCCAGCCACCCCATTCCACTGTCCCTCTCCCATTGATTTCCACCCTGTATAACAGTAAGTAACTGCAGCTAACACAAGGAACAGCATTCCCATCTGAAAACAGAGGGAGCAGCAAGAATCAGCTGCCTGAAGCAGAGTAAAGGCACATCTAGTCCAGTAATCCAGATGCTCACAAGCAAAGCAGAACAATGTTTGTTCTCCATATTCAGAGATGTTACTACCTCTAAATCTGGCAGTTTAGTTACGTAGGTTTATGAACTCTTTCATGAACTGGCACAATCCCTTTTTGAGGCCACTAAAAGAATGGCCATCATTTCCATTCCCCATGTAAGACTCATCACACAGCATTTGGATCCTGCTTTTTCCCTCCCACTTATGAGGGGCAGCTTAGATAGTCCTCCTCTGCTCCATTTTAGCCCCACAACAACCCTGTGAGGTAGGTTAGGCTGAGAGAGAGAAACTGGACCAGCGTCACCTAGTGAGCTCCCTAGCTGAGTGGGGACTGCATGGCTGAGTCCCCAGTAAAACCCTCTGGCCACCCTCCCTCTCTGGCTCTTCTTCCATCGGCCAGGAACGGAAGTTATTGGAAGCAGCCTGCAGCCTCCAGCAGCATACCTTGGCTACTGAGGGTCTTTATGCGACTCCTGAGCCTGCACCATTGCTCCTCAAAGGTGTCGGAGGGACAGTTTTGCTCTGTGCCCTTGAGAAGAGAAAGCAGCAGCTCAGCAGAAGTCAAGCAGAGGGAGCAGTTGTCATCATGATTAGACAGAAGCTCCACAGGTCTCCTACCTGTGCAAAGCCCATATCAGTGCATAGCAGCTGCCCCACATCTTGGCTCACTTTGTTCAGCAGCTGCTTCAGTTTGCTATTCTCTAGTACCAGGCCCTGCTCCCGCTGTTCCTGATTCACCAGTTGGATGCGGTAGAGCTCTTCCTCCTTCCTGCCAGGGAGACAAAACAAGATGTTGCGGCCAATGTTCCATCACCATACCCAGATGATGGATGAGCTCCTAAGATTAAATACCATCTTATGACCTTCAGTAGCTATTCACCATCTCTTGATATCTAAATACATGGGACTTCCCACACCACCTCACACTATTTTCCTCACTTGGACAATCCTTGTTTGATTTCCCCAATAATTGCTAATCCCAAACTAGTGTAGCAACAGGTGTCTACAAAGCAATTCTGAATGCAGAAAAGCCTTTCAGGAACCTCAGCTTTAGCGTGTGTGCTTTTTAATAGATCAGCAAGTTCCTAGGCCTTATGATTGGGAAATGTATGTACAGAGTCTGGTGAAATCTGGGGGATGGAGCTAGCCGGGATGGACCTTGGACGGTTAAAAAAAATCTCCTCCTGTTCATCGACAAAAATATGATTAAAATGCACTCAAATCAAGATTAAAAAACACTGAACAAATGCATGAAATGTAAGTCAATTCCTTTGTTTATCTCCTGGGAAGATTTGAAACACAGACATGGAGTAAGAGATGTTTTTGTAAGATGGAACTGCTGGGCCTAGTCCAGAGTAAGCAATATTTCGGCTGTTTATGGATTGAAAAACAGTGTTTGTTATACATAGCCGCTTGTTATAATAAGCCAAAAAACAGCTTGAAGAGGGGGGAAGAAAAGGTGGAGGTTGTTTTTCTTGATAAGAAGTGGCTCTCTCCCCCTCTTCCCCGTGCTGCTAGAAGGCTGAGAAAGTGCTGAAAGTACTGAAAGAGAAAGTATTTAGACAGAGCTGTAAGGAATGTATATCAAAGTTAATTAATATCTCATAATTAACTTTTTGTGCTATCTTATGTTTATTATGAGAAACACTGAAAGATAAAACAAATTTTTCCATTTTATTTTTCAATTTATAGCCTGCCTTTTTCCTACAAAGGGCTCAAGGCAGCTTACATCATTTCTCCTCCTCCATCATATCCCCACAACAACAGCCCTGTGAGGTAGGTTGGGCTGAGAGTCTGTGACTGGCCCAAAGTCACCCAGTTGGCTCTATGGCTGAGCGGGGACTCGAACCCAGATCGCCTGAGTCCCAGTCCCATGCTCTTAACAGCTACACCACACTGGCAAAAGTGAAAGTGAAACAGGAAATTATGTAATGACTGTATTTGCAAACAGTAATACCTGAGTTCTCTCTGCTGGCTAAATGTCAAATTGTAGCTACTGATTCATATACAGTAAACCCTTGGATTGCGAGTGTTTTGCAAGATAAGCAAAAAGTTTTTCTAAATTTTGACTTGATAAACGAGCAATGTCTTACAATACGAGTATTACAGTATACCCCCGTGAAGTCACGGTTCAGCATTCGCAGCCTCAGTCTTTTGCAGGATTTTCCTCAGCGTGCGGTAGCTTGCTTACAAGGAGATCGTTTTCTCCAAGCAAGTCCAAACCGATCTCCTTGCGAGCAAGCCTTGCTTGCAAGATCGGTTTGGAATCGCTCCGTGAAAAATCTCTGCGTGCACCTGCCCCTGCCCCACCGTGCACACACGCCCACCCCCCAGCCCAGCCCATGCCCCCCACCCGCACTGCCTTGGCGGCCCATGCCCATCACCGGCACCTTTCAACTGGCCCCCCAAAAAGTTTGAGGACCCCTGTTCTAAGGCGTCTGACAATGAACCTTTACCACATTCAAAATTCAGTTTTTCACAATTTGTGAGTGCTCTAGGAATGCAACCCCTGCAAATTTCGGGGAACTACTGTACAGGCGCTTTGCCTGCCGAGCGTCACGTCACAACTGAGCACTGGTTCTTCTCTCTCTCACTGTGGGTGTGAGTACAGCATCTTCTCCCCCCCCCCCGCCCAGCGTGCCCGCAATAGTGCCTGCCTCCCCCGAGTGCACCCGCTTCAAATTTTTGTGGTTAAAAAAAAAGTTACAGAACAGATTAACCTTATTTACATTGAACCTTATGGGGAAATTTGCTTTGATATACAAGTGCTTGGATTACAAGCATGTTTCCAGAATGAATTATGCTCGCAATCCAAGGTTTTACTGTATTGCTTGAAAGTTCAATTGTAATTGTGGTCTGCAAATAAGAGCACTAAATTCAAGAGTTCTCTCCTCTAAGTTGGAAATAATTAAGTGTACACTGTATGCCTAAACATAGTAAAAGTGCTCACAACTTTAGGCAGGAGCCGAAGATGGTTTGGCAAAGATCCAGAGTAAAGCAAGACTCTTCTTATAAACCTCACCCATCAGATTTGCAGCTAAAAAGAGTAGAGATGAATGGAAAAAAGAAAACAACACCAGAAAAATCAACGACTTCATCAACACAATTGGAGAATTTTGTTATACTTCTACAAGAAATAAGAGAAATAAAGACAAAAATTGATTCAGGATTTGATGGTGTGAAAGAAGAGGTGAAGAGTGACCTGAAGAAGTTGGATATTAAAATAGATAATATGGATGGAAGAATAAAAGAATTAGCTAAACAAAATCAAGAGAATCTCCAAATAATTACAGAAGTGAAAGTTCAAGGTGAGAGAACAAGATAAAGAATTTAAAAAACAGATGACCATGATAGGCCAGGTCTCTAAAAGCATGATTGAGATCCAAGATAGACAACGAAGATCAAATTTACGCCTTAAAGGATAGCCAAAGGATGCGAAAAAGAATGAAGATAAATTGATCCAACTAATATTGGTCTGGGCTAAATCTATTCTTCCAGATGTTTCCTTTTCAAGATATGATATTGATGCAATACATAGAGTTGGCCCAAGAAGACCGGGAAGAAAAATATCGAGAGACATTGTGGTCAGATTTTGGTCATATGCAAAAAAAGAGCAACTGATGCGGAAATTACGGAACATGACACCATTTATGCTGGAAGGTCATCAGATGCAAGTCTCTCCTGATCGATGTTATAAGATTTTGCAATGGAGAAGAGATATGTCCCAAGTCTGCCAAATATTACAAAAGAATTCCATAAATTCCCAATTGGGTTCCCAATTTTTATGGGGTTTGCATATAATGGAAAATATTATAGCGTTGATACAAAGGAGGAAGCATTGGAATTACAGAAGACACTTGGAATTATTCTTGTTGATGAATATGCAGCACAATTGCAAAAGTTAAAGGATATGTCTACATTTTCAAGAAGGAAGACAGAGAAGGAGAGAAGAGACAGGGAGGAGGAGAAGCTGGGCATAGCAGCAGGAGGCTCATCATCTCCATAGAGGCAGAAAGAAGAGGAGATCCAGAAGGAGAGGATACTTAGAAGAAGGATGAAAAGATAAGATCTCTAAGTAATAGATATAGAATATATTATATTTCAGCAATTTCAACACTAACAAATACAAGAGAAATTTGAGTATAGAATAAATGGGTATAGATGATTGGGGAGGATGGAATGGATGAGGTCTGTACAGGGAAGGCTCCTCCCCACCCCTTGGAAGCCCAAAGAGGCAGGGAGGAGAACATCTCCTGAAGATCGGAGAGGGGGTTTCCACACACAAATGTGGTGGGGAAAATGGTGGGGGTAGGGACATGTTCATTTGGGTTTTTGCTATGGTTTTGTTGGTGTGTTTATTTTTTCACATATGCAGACCAAAAGGAACATTCAATGTATTGAATGAATGGGAAAAACACTGAAGATTGTGTCTTGGAATGTAAATGGCTTGGGAGAAAGATATAAATGAGCCAGAATTGAAAAATCTTCATATAAAGAAAAAGCAGATATTATATTTTTACAAGAAAGGCATCAAAAGAAAGATGGGGTAAATGAACTAAAATTATATTGGGCAGACGTATACGAAAAATCATATGGTACTTCTAAAGCAAGAGGTGTTGCAATTATTTTTGCCAAAAGATGTGAATTTAAAATAAAAGCTATAAAAAGAGACCATTTGGAGAGATTTCTCATAATACAAGGTCTAATTTATGGACAAGAGGTGACATTAGCTAATATATATGCACCTAATACAAATCAAAGGGAGTTCTACAAGAAGGTATATAAAGAAATAGAAGAATTAAAAGGAGGACACATGATAACGGTGGGTGATTATAATATGGTTATGGACAAAGAAAAAGATAAATCTAACCCATCAAAGTTAGACATAAAATATAAGAACACAGACTTAAGTAGATTTATTACTGAAAAGAGATTTAAAGATGTTTGGAGACAGTTAAATCGGAACCAGAAAGGATATATATTCTATTTAAATAGACACAAAAATTTCACAAGAATAGATTACATATTTGTAACATCAGAAATATTGTCCAAGATAGTTAATGTGGATATAAATTAAAATATCAGGCCATGCAATGATAACAACGAAAATGGAAAGAAAATGTGATTATAGACAGGCAAATAGATGGAGGATAGATTTAAGGATTTTTAAAAATGAGAAGATTTTAGAAAAAATGGAAAAAGAATTAAAAGAAATATGAAAAATATATTACTATCTCCTTTTTCATTTAAGTGTAATATGGGATGCAATGAAAGCGGTGATAAGAGGGCTAGAAATAAAATATTCATACAATTTAAAAAAAACAAAGAGATTTGGATTATGGTATTTAAGTAAATTAGAGAAAATTTTAGATATAGACTTAGAAATGTCACTGAGAATTGTGTTATTACTGTTGATTGAAAAACAAGATATAAATGAAGCTAAGAAAGAATTGATTGTAAATATGATAATGGCAGTTAGGTTAGTGATAGTTAAATATTGGAAACAGAATTGGGTTTTACAAAGACATGAATGGTATAAAGAAATATGGAATATGGTAGTTAATGATAAACTGATGACAGAAATAAAAATTTTAAAAAATAATGAAAGCAAATAAGGAAATCTGGGAAGATTTTGTAAAAGCAGTACTGATAGAAGGCAAAGGTTGCAAATCTAATCAAGATTATATGAATTTCTGGAGGGGATATGGATATACAGTAATTGAAATATATTATTGTTATGTGAATTGTTGAGGTAGTATTGGTCTGCGGGGTGGTGGGGGCACTTTATCATTTACTTTGCTAATTATTGAGTTTTTGTATGTTATTGTTGTGTTGTATTTATGGATTTTTTTTCCTTCTGTATTAAAAAAAAAAATTAAAAGGGGGAGGGGAGAAAAGTCTGGTGAAATCTCATGACAAGTGCTGAATATTTTTAAAAAAGCGTATCCAGTGGTAAGAGGCTGGGTCTTTACTACCCTGTCTAGCACACAGCATTCTGTGTTCCTGTCAGCCAGAGTAACTGAGAAGTTTATATTTCGCTGGTTACCCTACATGCTTGTAAAGCCTCTCCCTGCCCAGGACACCCACTTTCCTAATGGATGAATGGAGTAAATGCTAACTGTGTTTGCAAGCCCGTTGTCTTTAACCTGTATTTCATTGTTAGCCTCCTGGAGTGCCATTTTGGGTGGAAAGGCAGGACAAAAATAAATTTAAGTATTTACCTGCCTAGAGATTTTCCAGTTTTCCAGGTTGTTCTCTTGCCATCAGCTCGAGGGAGGACATTGAGGATGTCGATGCCTAGGGACAGCAAGGCAGAAGCCTGGGTAAGGAAGTTCAATCTCTTCCCCTGCGTCTCACCACCCACAGCATCCCTTCCCAGCCCCAGCAGTCAAAACCAGGCATACAGTTCTCATCCCTGAATTTAGGTGGGGCTGCAGCAACCAGCATGGCGTTATTCCCAACCGCCATCACTGGAGTGGCAAATGGAAGCTTGAGACACTGAGCCCGAACTGCACCAACCTTTGCTCCCCTGCAGTTTTGCTCTGAAACCCCCAGACTTACTTCCTCTCCTATCCCGCTTGTCAGTCACCAGCTGGCTCATTTTCTCCTTCATTCGAAACAGCTCCTGCTCCTTTTTCTTCATTTCATGGGTGTGCTCGGTCTTCTGGCTTGCCAGTGCACTTAGCAGCTTGGTGATCTGTTGGGACAAGCAGGAACTCAAAGGCAAGGTAGCAGCTAGTGTTGATTTGCAACAGCTCCCTTGTTTGGCCGCATTAGTAGTCCTATTTAAAACTGCATGTTAAGCAGCAGTCCCAGAGTCCAACCAGGTCTATAGCTTTTCAGAGTTCTATATGGTTTTGTGATATGATTGCATTTTATAGTTTTAAGTCTTGTTTTGAGAACTGCCCAAAGAACTTTGGTGATTTGGCAGTACTGAAATACAACAAACAGGCATGCAAACCTTGCTTATTTGTCAAATATCCTTGCCTTTGAGTAAAACGTATGAAGTCCTCTTCCTTCTCTGCCTTTCTACTTTTGGTATCACATTCAAATCCCATTGTTTTGTTAACCATTTGCTAGTTTTTGCTATTCTGTGTCCGGTTTTTAACACACTGCATTTTACTAATTCTGTAGGTATCTATTTTCCTTTCAAGGCCTTTGTATTGGTTAATAAAATAAGAGGTCTATGCAGTATGTTAATTCCTTTTTTAAATTGCCATTTCTATTTTCTTGCTCCATTACTTCTTGCTCCATTACCATCCTTCCTTTTCACTCAGTGGGCCTGAAAATTATCGCTGCACTGGGCAGCTATGCTGCTGTGTGCATGTACATGAGAAAGAGAAACAATAGCTTAATACTCAAATGTGATACACTTCCATGGATTTTTGTAACTCAATTGCATATAGATCCAAGAAGGAGAAGCATCTTCCTATGCTAATGACTGGATAAAAGATTAGTGTACATACAACAATATTTGCAGTAATGTACTTTCAAATTTGAAAAGCAGAAGGAAGAATCACTCACTTATTGCTACCAAAACCCTAACGTGGCAAAACAAGTATACTATTATACGCCTACCAATGTTTTTATTGTGGGAGGGGAAGAAGAGACAAAACACTAGCATCCATTTTTGCTCTCCCATCTCTTTACATGCCATGGCTACGCAGGGTTTAAAGAAAAGTAGCCACGCAAACATGCTGGCTCCCACACACCCACTGATGCTCCATCTCTGGGTTGTTTATCACAGTGTTTGAAACTGGAAATGGGTGTTGTCAGAGGAAAACAATTCACTGGTTTGTGTTTATTTCTAACTCTTGGCTATCTCTCCACTGGTGGGGCACAACTCTCATCGTCCTTCACCATCAGCTATGTCGGCTGGGGCCAATAGGAGTTGACCACCATAAGCATCAGGAGGACAGTAAGTTGCCCCCCTTGTGGTCTAGTGTGTACTTGTCTCCATTTTCTCTGTATTCTCCCCTCCTTGTTATTCTTGTCCTTTGCTGCTTGTTAAATCTCTGGATTTCCTCCTCAGTTTCATTACTTTGTGTATTGTTATCTATGAAACCCTTTACCACATATTTAATCAGTTCTTATGAATGTAAGCCTCATTAACTTGTTTTCGGGCTCCTCCTCCACCAGTAAAGTTTAATTTTATTTCTGTACAAATTAATACTGTAAGGCTATTGGGCAGGGCCCATTTTATGTTTTTTGAAGAATACCCAGATATTACTGATGATTCTTCATCATCATCATTATTGTATTAGGATCACAAGTACCTAAAGCCATACAGCAATTTCCCCCCAGGACCACTTTCTGATCTTTCTATGCTCAGAACAAGACAGAATGCCCTGATCAGCAGAACACCCAGGAAGCTTTACAAATAGCTGAGGGAAGTGAAAGGTAAGGGAGAAAGGGAAAGATACACCCAATTGAATGCAGAATTCCAGAGAATAGCTAGAAGAGATAAGATTGCCTTCTTAAATGAACAGTGCAAAGAAATAGAAGAAAACAACAGAATAGGAAAGACTAAAGATCTCTTCAAGAAAATTGCAGATATTGAGTGCTACACTCAATATGCCAGCAAATTTGGAAAACTCAACAGTGGCCACAGGATTGGAACGGGTCAGTTTACATTCCAATTCCAAAGATGGGCAATGCCAAAGAATGTTCAAACTACCACACCGTTGCACTCATTTCACATGCTAGCAAAGTTATGCTCAAAAACCTACAAGCTAGGCTCCAGCAGTATGTGGACTGAGAACTACCAGAAGTACAGGCAGGGTTTCGAAGAGGCAGAGGAACTAGAGATCCAATTGCCAAAATATGCTGGATCATAGAGAATGCTAGGGAGTTCCAGAAAAACGTCTACTTCTGCTTGACTATTCTAAAGCCTTTGATTGTATGGATTACAACAAATTGTGGCACATTCTTAAAGAGATGGGAGTACCAGACCATCTTATTTGTCTCTTGAGAAATCTGTATGCGGTCAAGAAGCAACAGTGAGAACTGGACATGGAACTACTGACTGGTTCAAAATTGGGAAAGGAGTATGGCAAGGCTGTATTCTGTTGCCCTGCCTATTTAACTTATATGCAGAGCACATCATGAGAATGGCAGGGCTAGATGAATCACAAGTTGGAATTAAGATTGCTGAGAGAAATATCAACAACCACTTCTAATGGCAGAAAGTGAAGAGGAACTAAAGAGCCTCTTAATGCAGATGAAGGAGGAGAGCAGAAAAGTTGGCTTGAAACTCAACATTAAGAAAACTAAGATCATGGCATCTGGTCCTATCACTTTCTGGCAAATAGATGGGGAAGAAATGGAGGTAGTGACAGATTTTATTTTCCTGGGCTCCAAGATCACCACTGCAGCCAAGAAATTAAAAGATCCTTCCTCCTTGGAAGGAAAGCTATGGCAAACCTGGACAGCATACTAAAAAGCAGAGACATCACCCTGCCAACAAAAGTGTGTATAGTCAAGGCTATGGTTTTCCCAGTTGCAATGTATGGCTGTGAAAGCTGGACCATAAGGAAGGCTGAGCGCTGAAAAATTGAGGCCTTTGAATAGTGGTGCTGGAGGAGACTCCTGAGAGTCCCTTGGACTGCAAGGTGATCAAACCAGTCAGTCCTAGAGGAGATCGACCCTGACTGCTCTTTAGAAGGCCAGATAGTGAAGATGAAATTCAAATACTTTTGCCACCTAATGAGAAGAAAGGACTCCCTGGAGAAGACCCTAATGCTGGAAACAATTGAGAAGGGGACGGCAGAGAATAAGGTGGCTAGATGGAGTCACTGAAGCAGTCGGTGTGAGCTTAAGTGGACTCTGGGGGATGGTGGAGGACAGGAAGGCCTAGAGGAGTGTTGCTTAAGTGGTCGCAATGGGTCGGACATGACTTTGCAACTAGCAAGCAAGCAAGCAAGCCCAGAGAGCCCTATGGGCTATGTGGCAGCATACAAATGTGATCATGATGATGATGATCATCATCACCAACTATTTGCAAAATACAAATATTAAAGTAGTGATAGTCACAAAACAGTCCATTTCAATCATTAGTACAACCTGATAATACTCTACGCCTAACGAGTCACAGGGACAGTGTTGAAGGACTGAATGGCAATTCAAAATTAATACAACTTAACTACAATGTTACAAGGCAGCTCAAGGAAATCTTGAATCTTTGAGGCTGAACTCAGCTCCACAAAGAATCAGGTGAAATGTGTCCATTTCTTCTCATGAGGAATCCCATGTTGCAGAGGGCAGTTCTGAGCAATTAAAACTAATAAGAGTGCCTGCCATCCAACAACCATGGGCATGTGTTTTGCAGGGCCAGAGTCTTGGGTTGCAAATGAAACTCAAGAGACCTGCAATACTGCAATGAACCTAGCTGGGTTCCCAAATGGGCCTGTCAGCAATGGCAGGAAAGTCAAGATAGAGGGTCACAACCCATGGAACACAACCCCCTGGGCAGTTCTCCTGCACAAGATTTAGTGGTGCACCTGTGCAGCTCTCATTCATTTCAATGAGCCTTGCATGGCACTTCTCAGTGAATTTCACCCATGTTTTAATTAGTGGAAGGGGCTGCCAGTGGACCTTCTGTCTCCATGTTTAGAAAGTCACCCTCCCCTGGCCCACTCACCTCATCCTTTTCCTCTTTCAGCATGCTATTCAGTCGCTTGTTGCAGTTTTGAAGTTGCTGCTCCTTGCTCTGCACAGCTGCAATTTCCCTTTCACAAGCTTCCACCTGGTTCTGAGATTTCCAAGAGGGGGAGTGGAGGGAAGAATCCAGAAGGAAAATTAAAGCCAAAAGAGGAAAGCGCTATTATGCTCTTGCACACCCAAAGCATGCCATTAATTGCTTAAAAGAACAGGTGGATGGTATGAGTATGCCTGTATGGAAACATACAAAAATGCATTAGAGTTATCATTTCAATGACAACTTTTTTAAGCAGTCACCAAGCTCACAGAAGCAGCAGCAGTGGGGAGCACTGCAAGAAGAGGCAACAGACCAGACTGAAGGGACAGAAGCAAGAGACACTGCATCTCCTTCAAGACACAGGGTTGCTAGGGGAGGCAATGCTTGCAATCTACCTGGGGTCTGGGAATGGGGCTGATTATGTTCTTAGAGTATGGTACCCCCACACAAACATACCTAATTTCCATCACTGCGGTCCATTCCCCTTTTAAAACAACCAACTGGTATCCACTCCACTGACTTTTAGGAATAAAAGGGAAGGTTAAGCAACAGGCCCACAAATGAAGTTTTGCAACACTTTAAGAACTCTGGAAAAATTTAAATATTCATATATAAAATGACAACCAAAATCTGACATCGAGATTTGAAACTTGCTTGTTTTGATTTAGATGAGTGACATTTTTATTTATGTATACACAGAGACATAATTTACCAGTTCCTGTCAAAGACTGACTGCTATTTCATTCAGCTTCCACACAGTCGACTGCTACTGCACTGTCTTTAGATGCATAGTGCTGACAAGTAAATACACAACTGTCACAATGATTGACATATGCAGAGAACATTCAACAACATTCTCAATTTTGGAGCAATTACTGATCTGGATAGAGGAGTGGTGGTGCAGAAATGGGGGTGGGGGGCATACCTAACTGTGAAACTCCCATGAGACTATACCTGTGGCCACAAGGAACAGAAAATTTAAAAACCCATTACCTTCTGACAGGTCAATTCTGAAACATTTGTGTGGCTATGAGTAATCACGAGGACTTTGTATAATTAAGACTGCCTTGCCAACTGGTGTTAGAATCTCAGAGCTGATTAAGGATGCTTATGAGTTCTTAAGTGAGTCAATTATTTGAACAGCTGCATACCTAACTGTGGATAAGCATCCCAAGTGTGGCCTTTCAGATCAGAACCCGGGGAAGGAGCCACATGTTGAGCTACTCACAGCTAAACTATAGTCCATGCAACTGGCTGCAGCACTCCCCACCAGAAGCGCATGCACAAGTAAATCTGCTGCTCTACATGGCATCAGCCTTACACCTCTCTCTCCCCCCCTCTCTATATATACACATATCTATGCAAAAGGACTGAAAGCAGCACCACAGAAATGTTCATTTTTCTCTTCCAGAAGGCTGTATTGGAACAACTGTTCCAAAGGAGTTTGTAAAGCTACCCCAAGCTACCTTGCTACCCCATGTCTCCTTTTCAAAGCATTTAAGGAGCAAGAAGGATAACCTAACGATGTAATGGATACCTTGCATTTGACCATGGGAGCCTTTGCCAACTTTTGTTGCTCTTTTGAGTACACAGAGCTTCATCTGTAACACTTGAGAGAACACCGTGTTGCACAGCACAGTCCAGATAGCTGCTGTTCCAGGAAAGAGTTTCATAACATATAGAGTGTCCTTGACCAGGGATGCTTCTGACAGAGCATCTTTTATCTCACTAATGTTACATGGAATGTTATTGCTGTTACATGGAAAAACCTTTGGGAACTACTACTTATTCAGCTTAATTTTTCTTTAGTGATTTTGTGACATCTGGAAAATTTACTATGAACATTCATACAATGAGCCCAAAGAAATTTAAAAAGATATGAGTATTAAATAGCACTTCAGGTTAAGAACATTAGATGAGCTCCGCAGGATCAGAGTAAAGGATCAATCCAATTCAGAATGCTGTGAAGTTTGAACACAGTGATGTCTGAAGTATATTTTCTGAGTAATCCTTACAACAAACCTGAAAGATAGATCTGCATTATCCTCATCCTGCAGATCATAAACAAGTTTCATTTCCAATACTACCTTGAATTGCCATTCAGCATAACTTAACCTGGATGCAGTGCCATTCTCAGTCTAAAAACACTAGCTTTTTCCTTCATGCACTGCTAGCATCCAAGGATTAACGATGGGCTTTTTTTAAACACCTAAATGTTATTTTGTAGAAAACTCTTGGGACAAAGGACATGGAGACTAGGACTCAAAAGATGCCCACCCAATACATCATCCCATCCCAGTCAGAATGCACCAGAAACCTAATACAGCTCTGTAGACCCCAATGCTTGTATGCAGCTTGTATGCAAGAGGATAAAAACTACAGACAGGAAGAAAGGAGAGGGCAGGACTGAACAGTCTTATCTCATAAAAAAGTAGAAACTGTTGGTGAGGAGGACACTGACTCATGAACATTTCTATGGTATAATTTGTATGCATTAACCATGTGGAGATAAAAGGGGTATAAATTAATAAAGACACTGGTAGTGTAGCTGATTGTGAAAAGTGGAGCAGAATCCCAGGTTGGCTGCCCCCCACATCAGCCAAATCAGTGGAAGAATGCGGGTTTGTCCTAATGGAAGGGGGCATTCTTGAAGGCAACGACCTAGCAGGAGCCAAGATAAAGCAGTGGGCTTTATTTCAGTTACCTTAAACAACAGCAGAGTGGTAAGCAGACCCACAGGACACAACCCATCCAGAACGATGAATTCCTGTTACTTTCATCAGACCTTCACCCAAAAGCTTCTTGCTGGATTGTGTCCCATGCGAGATGATGGTGCTATTAGACTACAAATAGGTGCCAAAACATTCTGGGTCTGCCCTGCAGAGATGGGATAACAGTGGGGTCTGGTGCAACACAACAGAAGCAAGAGATAGACCCTGGGAGTTCTGACCTTGAGTTTGCCCTGCCGCGTCCTCAGATAGTCCAGCTCTCTGGCCCGCTGCAAATCTTCCACCTCCATGTCATTCAGCTTGGCAGACACTCCTCGGTAGAGATTCAACAGTCTGCAAGTACCGTTAACCAAGGCCAGTAGGTCAAAGCCATGCTCGAGACCATCTTCAGAACCAGCATCGTTAAACAGGGCAGGGAGACCAAGCGCCCCCAGTTCCTAGGCACGGGGTAGTTGAAGCACAGAAAAGTTACTGAAAGTTCGCATCCCTTTTTTTCTTCAAGACTGGAATCATTAAGAAGCAAAACAGAGTGTCAAAACTGTATGCTTCTACAATGTGATGTAGAAAAGAGCGGTATAAAAAAACAAGACTGGTACTATTAAAGAAGGCCCAGAGAGTGGTTGGAGGACACAAGTCAGCCATATTGTTAAAACTAACTGGCTCAGGCTTTATAAGCTGTCTGGATGTGAACATATAGAAGCCACTCTTGGTTGCTTGGGTGAAGAGATGTGCTCATTGTCGTAAATGTTAGATGCAGGTAATGCCTGTGCTGGAACTAAAGCCATATCTTGTAGGGTCAGGACATAGAAGTGAGTAGGCCATGAATAAGCTGAAATAAGGAAGAAACCAGGCCTATTGCCCATTGACTAACACCAGTGGCCTTCCCCAAAAACTGGAGCGCTTGCTTCAGCAGACATGATGTGCTAGTTATGCTTTTTCTCACCTTTTCAACTGAGATTTTTTCCTGAAATTGGCTGAGAGGAAAGCTTCAGGGGAAACTTGTAGACAATGGCATTCCTACATTTGCTGGGGACACACAGCTCTGTGGAGGACTGCAGCCTATTCTTCCATGTGCAGGGAATAGGCCCTTCCATAACGCAAAGAGCAGGGGTGATGGGGATGGATGGATTCAGCTTGAATGTGCTTGAGGAACCATTTTCCACAGCGACCTCAGCCCTGTTCTACTGGGAAGAACCGGCCCAGAAACAGCACGTTTTCCAATAAAAAGGAGATCATATGTTTAACATTGAGCTATTTACTCAAAGTAGCAGAATGCCTAATATTCCCTAAGAAGACAATAGGTATAAGATAAGAGCTTTCCCCAGAAATGGAGTTTTATTACAGATATAATGGCAATCTGATGGTTAGGTAGTGATGTGGCTGGTAAACAGAGGTTGCAGGCAGCATTTTGCTTCTAGTTTCGGAAAGAGAAGGAAGAGATCTGCATTAGGAATGGAAAAGTGGGCATGATAACTTTTCTTCCTTATGCTCTTTTCAAAACACAAGGAGAACACATCCATGAGCTTTAAGGTAAATCCATAAAGGTGATAGAAAAAAGCAACTTTCCTCAACAACAGGAAAAATGGTTTGAGGGTAAGAAGCACTCACAGCTGTGAGTCTTGGCTCAATCAGGCTGAGTTTGTCCCAGCAAGTTCTCTCTCAAAATCAGTTCTGGCTTAGAGATTTTGAAGTGAAGAAACAGCCACCCAGCCTGCATCTCTAAAAACTTGGTCATAATATCTGGCAGGAATCAGTGAAGGAAGTAACATGGAGAACCCAGAGAGGGAGAATCACTGCCATCAAGGGCCTTGGGTAATTATAGCCCAATTTCAAAAATTCACAAAAATAGGATGGTCCTGGGACAGGTGCATAAAAGGCGGCTTTTTCTTGTTCCTGCTTAAATATGACTGAGGATCTAGAATTAAGATGCAGTTTAAAGCACCTCTTGTAAAGGACAACCAAAATCTCAGTGTTTGCCATAGTCGATGAGGGATGATGGGAGTTGCAGCTGCAGCCTACCAACAACTGGAGGAACACACATTTCTCATCCTTGCCACAGCAAAGTGATAGATGATACAGAGCTGCTTTGATCTGATTAGTGCTCAATCTTCCTTTGTTTCTATTGATTTCAGAAGGTCCCTGCCAGTGTTCAGATGGCAGAGGCACTCCCTCATCTATGTTAATAAACTGTCTCAACAGGAAACTTTCAAGCACACATTGTTTGCTAGACTCTTAGTAGCTCACCTTCCCAGACAGATTCAGCCTTTTGAGCAAAAGTGTTTATGAGAAGGCCACATAAAATGGTAGCAGAATAATACTACCCATCAACAGCAGGGCAGACTGAGATGGGAAACAGAACACAAGAGCCCCTTTGTAGCATGCAACATGAGCTGCTCCACAGTTGGCAGAAGGGTGAAATACCATTCCCCAACTATCAGCAGTGCTTTGTTCATGTTTTTCTCTGTAAATGAAGTTTAGAAGTTCAGGGCAAAGTTTTGGAAACTTCCGAAAAATTATCTTCAAGCAATTTGAACAAGAGCAGGTGAAACTCGGTTGCTATTTGCATGGCTTAATAGTACCAACTAAACAGCAGCTCAGAGCATGGGAGGAGCAAGGGCCTGCACTGCAAATTCTTCCTCACACATACTCTATTTACCTTGCCCATGTCCACTGCTCACCTTGTTGAGGTAAGAGATGCAGTGATCGATGTTGTCACTCCAGCACTCCAGGTCCCTAAACCCGCCTAGTAGCTCCAGAGAATCATCGAAGTGGGTTGGGCTGCACTCAGCAGCTGACAGGCCTGGCTCACAAGCATAGTGGATTATGAAGCCCTGAGCATCTGCAAGGAGAAGGTCCAAGTGGAAGATGCAAACAGCATGTAAAAGAGCAGCCAAGGGAAATCCAGACACAGAGTCATACCTGGGGTGCATATCAAGTGCACTCGACCTTTGTAAAGCAGAGGAAGGGTGTTAAGTAAATTAAAGACTGGGGGCAAATGCCAATTTGATTTGGTCACATTTGCACAAAAGCAATGCTTATCCCTTCCCACAGACACATGCACTACACATTTACGCATTAATAACCAGAAACAAGGGTAACTTTGAATGTGAGCCAGTCACCAATGAAAAGATGCCTGCCTTACCAATTAGCAAGTGTTTTTTGAGTGGCCACAGTAGATAAGGGAGTTGTCATTGTACTTTCTGCATTTAATTTCCCTCCAATCTCAGTTTACAACAGACCCACCCACCTCACCCAGTCAGATGTATATATCCCTGAAATTCAGCATAGCAAATCATGCATATCATAAAGAGGACTGTATCAATAAATGAGTTTTTAAGGCGCCACAAGACTTTTTGTTATTTTGACCTCACAGGGTTTTTGTGAGAACCAAAAATGCACAGAAAAGAGAACTGTGTTGCTGGAGGAAGTGTGGGGCAAAGCTGTGATAAATACAACAATAATTTACTATCAAAGAGATGAACCTTTGCAAACATTTCTTGCAAAAAGGCCTTGTCAGATACAGATACCTGTGAATGCCTCTGCTTCTGGAGTGCCTGGGACAGCCAAAGGTTCCATTTCCTGCTTAAGGTTCGCACCGAAGCCTTAAAAAAATACTAAGAATGTTTACAGTCCCTACATGGCTCCAGAGAAGCTGTTCTGCACCCAACTGGCTCTATTGCAACTACTCAGACATGAAACTTTTGTCATGGTAAAAATATGATTAAAACTATAAGCAGTTTTTTACACTCATTTCATATTATGAATGCACACAATTACTATTCAAATTTTCATCACAATTATATAACCCATATATGCCCTCCCATCCCTTGAGATCAGCAACGGATGCCCTTCTCCGGGAACCCTCTGTGAATGCTATTAGGAGGGTGAGTACCCAGAGGAGGGCTTTCTCTGCAGTGGCGCCACATCTATGGAATGCGCTCCCCAGAGAGGTCCGCCTGGAGCGGTTGTTATTTGTTTTTCGGCGTCAGGCTAAAACCTTTTTATTTAAAACTTATTTTAATTGCTAGATTATTGAATTAATTAGGATTTTAAAATTTTTAGCCGAGAATGCACTGGGGGTTTTTTAATGTTTTCTTTTTCTTTTAAATTGTTATATTATTATTTATGTATGTTTTTATGTATTCTTTGTGAGCCGCCCCGAGGCTTTGTTGCGATGGGGGTGGCATAGAAATATTTTAAATAAATAAATAAATATACTTCTATATTTTCATTTGCTTCTGTTATATTTATATACCAACTTTTTTCCAACAAAGAACCCAAAGTTACTCACAGAATCCTTCAGCTGCTCTCCATTTTATCCTCACAACAACAATCTTGCGAGGAAGGTTAAGCTTAAAGTCAGTGACTAGGCCAAAGCCACCTAGTGATCTTCATGGTCCAGTGGGGACTAGAACCCAGACCTCTCAAGTCCCACCCAGTCCCACACTCTGACCGCTAACCTTCTTGGGGGCAGAATCTCATGTACTGTGTTTCTGGAAAGCTTTGCAGTATCGATAAATTACACAAACTCTGCCTTCGGCCAGCATGCATTTCTGTGATCAATATTTTCTGGATTTTATGGAAGGGTGTGTTTCAAGGATGATTTTTTAGGAGTCCTTTGACAAGGAGAGAGACATTCCCTCACCTAATGCTTCAAAGGTTGCGAGCACCAAAGGTTGTGGGGGTCTTACCACACAGCTCTTTCTCGGTTGGCTACACAAATCCTCTCCCCAGTCCATGCTTGAGTTGCCAACTGCAGGGATTGGGCCTGCTTTTTCCAAAATGCAACATTATAAAGTAAATCCTCCCCCTACCTAAGATTTTTCTTCTTCCTCTGGAGACCCCAAAAGCATGGAGGTTAGACTATGAAATGTCTGCTGAAGATCAGGAGCCCTGGAAACCCTTCTAGAGTACCTCTCTCTCTCGCTCTCACTTGCATCATATTGGCAACCTTATCCTCAAGCAGCCATTAGACAGCACACTGGCTGAGGAATGCTGGGAGTTGGATGGCTTGCCGCTTGAAATGTGCATTGGACTGCCCTCTTGTTAATTCATTTTTCACACGCTCCCCCCCCCCTAGCCCTTCAGTCACAGCCACACAGAGTATCTATACAGAATAAACTTTCTTAAAGAAAACACTTTTAAACTAAAGAAAAAAGCACATAAACTTGGTTAACCCCCCCCACCCTCTTTTAGAAGTCAGAGAAACCACCATCAGCCCTGACCTAGTCCAGCTGAACCCTCTGTAGGCCCTGCCAGAGGTGGTGATCAAGCCCTCCACCCTAAATGAGACACATTATGGTTCCCATAATAAACTCTCTCTCCTCCATGCTGAAGACAACCACCAAAGTACTCAAATGGCAACACCAACACCCCTTACAATTCACCACTGGGTGAGGCTTGGAGGGAAAGGGAACATGCTTTGGGAACAAGTTGAGGTTAGTAATTCTACTCTGTGGGGAGTTCATGGAGAGAGATAAAATCTACTTCCTAAGGCCAGAAAGGTCCATCTGGTCCCACCTATTCTTTACAGTAATTGCCAGCTTAATGCCTGGGAAGACCCAAGTTCCAGTCCTCCCCACTTGGCCATGACACTTACTGGGCACTTTAGGCCAGCCCTGCACTTTTAAGTCTAGCCTACATCACAGGCTTTTCCTGAGGACAAAATGGAGAAGAGCAGGACCATGTATACCACCTTGGGTTCCCTAGAGTAAGAATATTGTATCAAAATAAATACTAAGAAAGCTCATGGGCACAGTGATTCTCCCACCTCTGGTATTCAGAGGAACCCTGCTGCTGGTGTATCAACATTTCATGGAAATATTATGCATAGTAGCAATGGATCAGCTTAGCCCCCCACTGAAAGCCTCCTCAATCAAGCATCAGACCCTGTGTCAAGCTCATCCCCTTCTCACCTGCCCTTACTCAGATCCACCTAGTGGTGTTCTCATTAAAATAATAGCCTGGAAATGTAACACAGTTGACTTGTAGCCTCTCCAGGAAGAACAACAGGCAAATAATCTTCACAGTGATAGATGTTTAACTGTAGTTATGAAGAAGCAACTAACGGTAAAACTACAAACCATGAAGAAACAAAACCACAAAGGAGCCAAGCCCCGATTGGCTTTGAATTACTTAGGAATGATCCTAGTGGTCAATTACTAGCAAGAAAAGTGGTCTTTGATCTCTGTAGCAGTTTTTGGCATCACGTCTGCACCTTGTGTTCACTCCACAATTTTCTCTACCTTCTCTCTCTCCCACTCTGGGAATACCATCAGGGCAGGACTTTGTGGGGGGGGGGGGCTCAGCTCAGTAAAATGAGTTGGAGGGACCCCCCCTCCCCCAGACAAAGCAGGGCTAACTTGCTACATTTTGAGCCAATGCACCTTACCATGCAAAAACGGGGAGTAGAGAAGATGGCTATGCCTAAAATTACCTAACTGCACCACTGCTTGGCTTTCTTTAGCTCTTCTTCTCGATGGTTACCAACAGACTTCCTCCTCTGCTTGATTTTGCACTCCAGCCTTCACCTGTCCTGCATTCCAAAACACCTGAAGCCGCCTTATCCTGAGTCCATCTAGCAAAGTAATTGCTGCAATTATAGGCCTTCCAGGCCCTACTAGACTATACAGATACTGGGCTAGCTGCATTGGTATTGACCAGCCCTATTTAAAGCGCTGGTTTTAATCAGCAATGGGGGTCCAAGCTTCAAGTAACTTGAAGCATCATCTTCCATGCCAGTCTGCCCAACAGAGGTGCTTCTTATTTACCTGCTGCCAAGTGCAGTTAGGCTAATGAGTACAAGGGAAAGGGCCTTTTTAGGGGTGGCCTCATATATCTGGAACCTGTTTCTACTAGAGGGTCATCAGGCCACTTTTTGCAAGTCTGCAAAAACCCACCTGGGGATCCAACTCTGAGCTCCATGTTTATTACATTTCTAATCCAGCCAATAACAAATGAGGCTTCGGCGAATGGGGCGGCATTAAAATGTTTTAATAAATAAATAAATAAATAAATAATAAAATGAGCTATCAATTGCCTATGAAATGGGTATTAGTGCACAAAACTCGAGTTCAGGAGGAAGCTGAGTTTTGGAGGTCAGCCATTATTTCTGCCTTGTATTTAGGTGCTTGGTTCAAATTGCTTTACTTTCAGCCTTACCTGTTTGCCTTTTGGGAAATGGATGTTTTGTGATTGACAATACCTAGCATGACAGCCGCTTTGCATATGGGTAACTTTCCACCTGCAGTAGCATCCATTTTGTGATTGTGTCCATAAATTATTCTGAATATTCCAAATGTCACCACTGGTTGTAAAAGGTTGGTGCCCCAATCCTAACTCAATAGCAACTGGTTACATAGCAAACCTAGGCAAAACACACATTGTGCAACTTCCAGCTCAGGAAGTGCCCAGTGGGCTTAATTAGAAGTGGGAAGAATGGTAACAGCAGCACTGGTACTCCAATCAGTGCTACACAACTGCCATTTTGATTTTCCAGTGCCCTGACATAGAATCATTCTGGGATGGTATAAAGATGGCAAGTCAGTACTGACTGGTTTTCAAGGTGGCCAACAAATTGTGGGGCCTCTGGGGACTTTCTGGTAATGCAGGCTCTCCGAGGAAGCCCATGGCTGCCTCTCACTGCCACTACAAATCACCACCCTTGTTTGGAGTCCTGTCCAGATGCCTTCTATCGTCTCAGAATCTTCCCTATTGAACATGTGCAAAAGTTTTTCTGCCATCTCTTGCAGGAGTTTTATGTCAGTGGCCCAGAACAAATACTCCACATAACAGAGACTTTTGGATGCCTATAGCTGATCAACTCAATGCTGTGTGTCCCAGTGCAGCAGTTCCTACAGCGGAAGGGAATGCGACTACTTGATGTTGCCCATTTTCTGAGCACACACAGAAACATGGCCTAAGCAAGTAGGATAATCCTTCAGCCATCACACCTCCCCTGAAGCATGGCATGTGTAGTGAGGCCAGATCATGTGAATGGTGCCAAAGCAGGAAGAAGGAATCGGCTGTGCCTTCCCCTTCTGCTTCCAAGAAAACTTGGGGCACTTGAACATTTGACATCTCACCACTACCACTCCAGCTCTTATTACCTATAAAAGCCGTGAGAATATATGCCCAAATCCAAGGAAACTGTACACACGCATGCTTCATGTATGTCTTATCTGTGCCCAAGGTAGGCACACAGCAGTGAGAGGCTTGAGTGATATGCCTCCATCTGCAGGGGAATCAGTGTCAGCCTGTGACCAGAGCAACATACTCCAGATATAGCATCTGGCTCTGCCACAGGCAGGAAGTACGTGCACAGCATCCTGGGCTTTTCCCCCATCAGGTTTATGGAAAGGGTTCCTACAGATCTCTGACTAATGAGTATAGGTGTTTAGAAACATAGTCCAATCACCCGGCAGAGACAAGGTTTTTGCAAACTGGTTCTACAATTTGACAGCTGGTAATTTTATTACCCACAAGTTTATTACCCTTTACGTGCTCTGAATTCATTAAAATTAGGCAAACACAAAGAACCTCAGGTTCTGCTGCCAGCAGGAAAGTTAAAGAAAAAAGAATGCCCACCACACAGAAGTCAAAGTTTAATTTAAAATCATCACTCTATTAAACAACTGCAGGGAGGAAACACCTTGCTATGTGTGTGATCTTGAAGTGTGACAGTCAACGAGACCAGCTCCTAGAAACCTAGCTGGCCAGCTACCAGGGGAGCACTCATGAAGTAGAGGTTGACTAACACCAACAGGCCAAGGTAATGCCAAGGAGTCCAACCGACCAGACTGTGGGGGAAGCACCACTCCCACATCAACGTGCTGATGTTGCTGGAATAATCCCTGATGCAACCTGCATCCAGACTGGGGCTGCTGATCCCTCAGGGCTCAGCTGTGGAGGAAGAGGAAGAGGAGGAGGGTGGAGCAGGTACAGGGGGAGTCTCCTTCTGAACCAGCTCTGGCTCATCTTCTCCATCATGCGGAGGATGGACGAGCACCTTGTCCAAGATGCCAAATTCCTGGGCTTCTACGGGGCTCATGTAACGGTCTCTCTCCATGGCAGTTTCTGTCAGAATAAGACCACTTTGGATTAGTGGAAAACTTACTGCAGTCTCAGCAAAATAAAGGCAATTACTAGTCCACAAATAAATTCTTTTCTGACATAAGCCATTTTAAAGGTCTGGAAATATTTCTCATTTGGCACACTATTTGCACAGTTCTTCTTCACTGAGTTTCAGTTCCCTTTAAAATAAGCTGCTTGTTTCTGAAGAGCGCATGCCTGTCAAAGTAAACATCCTACCACAAATCCCTCAGGGAACCAGTGCTAAGGGCCAGTTTTCTCACCCACCTAACTTGGATATTCATCCTAACCTAGTATCTCACGCTAACCCTAAACTTGCAATCTTGGGCAAGTGAGACCTTACCATGCTCTTTAAAAAGTCCACAAATAATCAGCCTGCAACCCCCAGGAAGGAAGGCTATGAATGGCTGCTAGTCCTGACTCCAAGATATTTCCTGCAGGGTTAGGGGCAGTATGTTCTCCATGCCAGTCTGTGGGGAACATGTGCACTCCTATCCTCCTGGGGGCTTCCTTTTGGGGCATCTGATTGGCAGCTGTGTGAACGGAATGCCGGACCAGACTGGCCTTTGGCCTGATCCAGCAGGACTATGCCCACATGCATGTTCCCATGTCAGGCTGCAATCCTGTGCACACACATTAGGGAACAAGCCCTACTCAACGCTATAATATTTACTCCTGAGTAAACCTGTGCCATCCTACCCCTTTTCTCCTCCTGCTCTAGCTCCTGCTGTAGTCTGGTTAGGTAATATAGAAACACTGTCTAGGCTTCCATGTGGAGACGCTGGATAGTATATTTCCACTGGTATTTATTTCCACCGGTGTTGCAGCGTGTTGATTGATAACAGATTAAATGCACTTATGTTAGATCTAAAAGTAGCTAACTCCATTCTCAAAGTACCTGTCCTTATATAGCAGAACAATACTAGCCAAGCACAAGAGGGAGGTTTTGGTAGGTTTGGGAAAACTCCCAAGGCCTGCAGAAGGAGAAGATGCATTTTAAGGAAAAATGCTGACATGCAGGCTTAGCCCAACAACAGCCAAATGAGGCCCGAGTGTGCTCAGTGGCTATGCAATACTGACTTAGTGTAACCCAGAGGAAACCCAGGTGCAGGGGTGGGAGGGGAATATGGTATTCTGAACAGGTGAACGCCACACTGAAACATTTTGTTGCAGGTCCCACTTGTACAACCTCTATTACAGCTTAAATGAGCATTTAGTTCAACAGTCAATCGCATTTACAAAGCCAGAAACTCCCAATAATCCAGCCTCCCACAACCTGGTGCCCTCCCCATATTCTGAACCGTAATTCCCTACATCTCTGGCTCTGCTGTCTGGAGCTGACGGGAGTTGAAATACGCAACAGCTGAAGAGCAGCAGGTTGGGGACAGCAATGACCTAGCTGCACCATACTTCTAGCTAACTAATTCATAGCACGTTGGTAAGCCAAACAGGGCCCAGTCAGTCTCCAAAGAGGTAGAAGATGGTGTGTGTGGGGGGGGCGGATTCTGTAGCTGTGGCTTCCTGAAAACCTGTGTGCTTCTGCTGCCCAGTTCTGATGGATAGTTAAGGAAAGGATCTTGTTTTCTCCCACCTCCTGAGTGAAAGTCTGGGAGGAGCAAATCCAGGCAGAAGCCTAGCCTCACTGTCCCTCAACACTTGCCTGATGGATGGGTGCTGATAGTTAGTTAGTTAGTTAGTTAGTAAACTTCTATGCTGCCCCATTCACCGAAGCCTCGGGGTGGCTTACAACAATAAATAAATACATATAATCATATAAAAACAATAGAATTGGAAAATTTTCCAATAGAATTGGAAAATTGATACTGGTATTCAGAATTTGCTTCCCCCACCCTGCTCTCATCATGAGTTCTTTTAACTTAATTTTGCTGCTTACCAATCACATCCAGGCTCTGCTTTGTGTGCTTGGCATAGAGGCTGTTGATTTGTTTCTTCAGCTTAAGGATTTCCTCCGCCTGGATGGCGATGTCTGTAGCCTGGCCCTAGAAGGAGCGCCAGAATCAGGTGAGCCCTGCCTTGCTGCCTCAGAAGCATTTCATCCACTAGGAAGCATGGGAGAACAGCTCTTATTTCCCATCCACCCCCACAGCCTGCCCAGCCAGAGGGGTCACGCAATCCACCCAGGTCTCCACTGAGGAAATCTGGGAGACATGGGTACAATGAAGGGCAGCTGGGCCAGACTTACCCGTGCCCCCCCAGAGGGCTGGTGGATCATGATGCGGGAGTTGGGCAGAGAGTGGCGCATGCCTGGAGAGCCGGCTGCCAGCAGCAGTGAGCCCATACTGGCAGCCTGGCCCACACACCATGTGCAAATGGGGTTCAGGATGTACTGCATGGTGTCATAAATGGCCAGCCCCGATGTCACTGCACCGCCTGCAAGAGAAGCATTTGCTGCAACACTAGGACCTCGACTTAGAAGCCACAAGCCTTTCCCCGGCTGAAACCACTGGAAAAAACCAAGTTTCCTGGAAGAGAGCTAAGCTGGGAGGATGAGCAGAGATTTAAAGTGGAGTCAAAAATCCAAGCAATAGAAGCCTGCAGAAGAGAATCACAAGATCCTGCTGGCATCTGAGTGCTTTCCTGAGGAGGGGACTAGGACTCCCACAAGGGCTGGTACTCAGCCAGCAGAGCCAGTGATTTGTGATCCTGGGATTTGCAGTGAGGGCATCGAGTTTAGTTACTTATGTTTACAAGTATATCCTGTCTTTTCTCCTCTCTCAAGAGAATGAGGGCCTCCCTGCCCCACCCCTCAGTAGAGCCTAACCCTTCATAAAGCACGTCTTGGCTTAAGGAAGGCTGCTTTTAGCATGCAGCAGAGCAAAACTAGTACTGAAGGTGAAGAGGCTCAACTGCTTGTTTCAGGCTCTTCTAGCAGAGCTGCTGTGGAAAGCAGAAGAGTGTTGCCTTCAGAGAGTGAAGGAAGCAGTACTTGGTTACTCTGGCCACATCCAAGATCTCTTGCAGGGCACAGTACAGAATGGGGCACTCCTTCACAGGTACCCCCCCACCCCCATTAGCGATGTAGGACAGTGGTAGGGAAGCTCTTCCCATTCCACGCCTTGCTTTTTTGGCCATATACCTGGGCTGTTAATGTACATGTGGATAGGCTTCTTGTTGCTTTCTGACTGCAAGAAGAGCAGCTGTGCAATGACTAAGCTTGCTACACCGTCATCGATCTGTAAAAAGAAAACACAGGACAGTCGATGATCAGCAAGGCACGCTCTACTGCTGAAGTTAATAGCAAGTGCAAGACCTAAAGCTTTGTGGCCTTTGGGGAAGAGGCCACCCCAGGGACAGAGTCCTACCAGCCCAGCTGCTGGAGAAAGAACCTGACCTCAGGGCTGTGGCATGTAGAAGAGAAAGGGTGCAGATTACTAAAATGCAAGGAATGGATCAAAACACATGAACACATGTCAGTTCTTTTTAATGAATTACCTAAGGAAAACCAAGCCAGTAAGAGCAAAGCATCCACATATTTTTAATATTGAAGCTTTGTGCATTCAGTGAAAAAATAAATCAAAAGTCAGACCAATAAAATAATCAAAGTTCTGCAATTTATAAATTATGTGGAGCAGATCTGCACATTTTTTCATAGTTCTCACAACTGATTATTCACTTTACACTATTTTGCATAATTTATTCTGGCTCTGCTAGTTATGATTAGGGTCATGGAGCTGTCCAGGGCACCAAAAGCCCTGACTTTTGACTGTGAGTATCTTACCCACCTACTTTCCTGTCTACTGAGATATATTGTCCAAATATATTCAACCATAAGTGCTAGACGCTTACTTTTAGAATAATAAATAAAACCAGTCTTCCCCAACAAGCTGGAATTTGCATTCAGTATCAAATTCTGATGGGGATAATTGTGAACCAATTGAATTGACAGTTGCTCCATGATGAGAGGAGGTCCTACTTACCGGGCCCATTACACAGACAATGCGCTCTCTCAGAAGGCGAGAGTAGATGTCATAGGCTCGCTCACCACGACCCTGAAACAGACAGAAGGTGAGCACAAAGTGCCCTCAAGGCCTGGGATCTAGTGGTGGAGAGTCCCGGCGTCCTCCACAGAGACAGGCCCACAGGCTTCCTGCAAAGGAAACAGCTGGCTGGAGTAGAATTTAACTCTGACATCTAAGAGCACAGGGACTTGGCTCGGGAGGGCATCAGGGCTGTGAGCTGATAAAAACCAGAAAACCTGCTCATGGAAGGATCAGGGATCCAGACAGGCATGCACAGATCAGGGACCTTACAGCAGAAATCACCTTAAAACAGATGCTAGTGATTGCAGACTCCAAGCCTGAGACTGCGGATCCTATTACCTAAAAAAGTGTCTGTTCCTCAAGGAGATGGTTAAAAAGAACAGCTACTAATCTGCCCAATTGTAGGAAGGAGACTTTTCCAAGCTTCCAGCCAAACAGTGTAAAGAGACTAGAGTGGCAGGCAAGACTGCATGTATTTATTATTACTTTTATAATAATTGTGGTTTTTTTTCTTACTTTCATACATCTACCTTCTATAGCTAGGTTTTTGTGTGCAAACATCAACATCAGTGCTGTTAAACACACATCCCTCCCAGTGTCTTGCTATGAGCCTGAAGCAAAATTCTAGCAACATCCAACACCAACTATAAGAAACTTGGGACTTTCTAGTTCCTAGTTTCCTAGGCATATAGAGAATCCTGACCCCGCTGCCTTCCACATGCCCCAGTATGCTGTGCTTACCGTTTGCTCCACTACAATGGGGATGAGGGGGATGTGGCTCTTGGGAGACTGGTGTAGGCTCCGAGCCATGGAGAGCACATGGCATCCCAGCCGCAATGGGTGCTGTGGGACAGAAAGAGAGAACATGGGCTAGTATTAAAAAAAATGCTGCTCTTGTCTTTTCCTTGCCAAGCACCTACCAAAGGCCCATTTGCTTTCTCCCTGCTGCACTCACAAGTGCCTGGGGCAGTTGTGGGAAGCCATGAAGCTTTCAGGATCTATATTTGTTTTCCTAGAACAGGAAAATCAACAAACTGTAGCCTGGTGCAAAAGTCATTTAAAAAATTCCAACACCAGAAAGCTAATTTTAGGAGTACAAGGACTGTTTCTGCTCACAGTCCTGCCACAGAAAAAAATCACTCGCGGTTACCCCCAGCCATCTTCTTTTTAGTAGTATACTGTATGGAAGAAAGGGAATCACTTTGCTGTTGCTTTATTAAATAACTTAACACAGAAATCCTTGTCAACCTACTGTGAATTACCTACAAAACTAACAGAAGCTCCAGTTTCACCTTCATACAAATTAAGCCTTTTAAAAATGTTTTGTCATGCTTACAGTCATGGCTGCAGCACATGCTCAGATGACAAGTGGGATGATTACTCTGCTTTATGCATTATGAGCACAAAACTAGAACCCACTTATTCTGAATGAATTAAAACCAAGTAAAACGGGTGGGATCGTGAGTATTTTTTTATAATAAAAACACCACTAGCATTTATCTGTCACTTTTTGAGTATCCAAAACACTCTAACAGTAATTCTTATACAACAGCCCTGCAAGGTAGGGTAGTTTTTGCCTAGTTGCCGTGGGACTGCAAGGAGAAGAGGCTTAAGCATAATAGCTTACCCATACTGACCGACTGTAGCCTTCCCCAAACTGTTGACCTCCAGATGCTTTGAACTTTAACTCCCATCAGCCTCAGCCAGCTTGGTCAATGGTCAGGAATGCTGGGAGTTGTAGTTGAAACTATCTGGAGGCCAGAAGGTCGAGGGATTCGTCTGATCTCACGGGACTTTTCTGTGCAGAAAGCAACCTGGTGCCGTTGTCTGCCTCCAGGGACTCTTCGGGAACAGACGCGCACGCATCCCAGGGGCGCTCCCATTCCTCGCACTACTACACCTAGGCACCCACGATTATTGCCCCCCCAACCCACGTGCACTCAGCCCCTCACCGCTATCCTTTGCAGCATTGCGACCCGGAAGATCCTTCTCCCCACGTGCTTTTCAAGGGATGCGAATCACATGATGAAGGCGGAGAAGCTAGGTTAGAACTGTTCCCTGCACTGACCGCAAAGCCGGGATGCACCATGGGAGCTGTAGTACCAAGTCGTACCCTGCCCAGTGTCTAGTTGTTCTGCCTCTTATTGTGTTATTATGACATTCTCACCAGCGTTTTACAGGTAGAAATGTATGCACTTTTTACTAATTTAAATATCAGTAGCCCCCTCCCACTTTATATTTTAGGTCACTGACCCTTCGCGTAAACATCAGGCACTCTCTGCTTGTTTACTATCAAAACCATGCATAGTATTTTTGTGATCTTGAATTGACCTAATAAAATTATTATACTAATATGGACTTAAGATTTATCTTTTAGCCAACACTTCACTTTTTGTGTGACTCTTTACCAGGAGCGAGTACCAGAAAATAGGAACTGCTGAAGTGGAAACTTAGGAGATTGTATTTATTCCCCACCACTCTTTCTCTTGCAAGGAGCCCAAAGCAGCTTACAGAGTTATCCTCTCCATTTTTTTCCTCACAAGAACAACCCTGTGAGGTAGGTTAGGCTGAGAGTCTGCGAGTGGCCCAAAGTCACCCAGTTAATTTCATGGTTAAGTGGGGAGACCTGGCTTCTAGTTTCAAGCCCCAGCCCAGCACTCTAACTACTGTGCAACACTGGCTCTCAGTCCTATAGATTGCTTCAGAGTTCTGAAATTTATTCATTTATTTCCTTGTGACACTTGTATGCTGTCCCATAGCCCAAGCTCATAAAAGCAATGACAGTCGGAATAAAATCTGCAAATATCCAGCATCATAAAAGCAATAGTTAACATGCACATAACAAATAAAAAGAGATAAATAGAGGCAATGCACATAACAAATAGAAAGCAAGCAGTGTGAAAAAATAAGTTTATAAATAGTAGTAGAAATAACTATAGTACTAATAGTGCTAAACACAGTACTAGAAATAAGGCAATGACTCTGATATTTAAGAGAGCTTCATCAGCCAATGTCCCCAATTTCTCCAGTAGTGTTCCTACTGCTCAGCTTATACAATGCAAATATAACCTGGGATATGTAGCAACAAAGGTTGCCAACTATATTTCAGGACAGGGTTCCTATGTTTGCATGACACAGTCATGGACTTTTTCCTCATCACCATATCTTTATATTGGGAAACAATTCAGCTGCAGAGTTTCTTCTGGTTGACCAGCTATAAAAGGGGCAGAAACTCTGTTCCTAAGCAATAAATGGCAACCCTGGTTCCCCCGGCAGAGAATAATTATTTACAGAAGGGCGGCAGCAAGTGCAGATTGCATTTAAAAATGTGAATGCTACAAATAGCATTGCCAGCAGACCAAAGGGAGGGAAAGCTTGCATGTCTTACTCTTGTGCCTTAAATAGCAGGTGCAGTTTCAAGAGACATGAAGTCAAATATTGTATCAATATGTGTCTTTGGAAAAAAAGAGGCAGCCCATGAATAAATAAGTAAATAAATGCAGATGACACTGTTGCTCAAACCAATGGAGTGGGGGCTGGATAAAAGGTTAGCAGTCCTTCTGTGAGTGGTATATTTCAGTCAGAAATGGGAGAAATAATTGTTACAATCTATCATTCTTCCTGTTGAGAGGAGGCATTTCAATTTTGGACAAAACTGAAGCTATCATACGTTGGGCACATCACGAGAAGGGAAGACTTGCTAAAGAAGATAATAATGCTAGAAAAAGTTGAAGGCACAAAGAGAAGAGGAAGCCCAAGTATGAAAAGGAAGCCCAGCCTTGGGATTATCAGAGCTGACCAGCACAGTGAAGGACATTCACAGGTCATTGTGGAGGGTGTTTGTTCACAGGAGTGCCACAAGCCAGAGATGACTGGAGGGCATGTGGCAGCAACAAAGGAGCTATAGGCAAACAATCATGCTGGTGATCTGGAGAATCTTCATTTGTGCTCTACTGATTTTAAGTAAGCTGTCATGGGAGCTTTCTATAGGATGAGGAATATAAGCAATGATATAATAATAGCAATAATACTGAAGTGTTTAATAGTGAAGGGTCCATACCACTGCAACCATATTATGTAATAAAGCACTCCTACTGTAAGCTTACATCACAAAGTCAGCTGTGTTTGTGTTGTGAATTTGTTATGTGCCATCTCCTACTTACGGTAAGCCCATGAATGAAAGCTTTCCAAAAAGTCCTGTCCACAACAGCCCTGCTCAGCTCTTCTAAGTTCAAAGCTGTGTTTTTTTTTATGGATTCAAGCCATCATATATTTCATCTTCCTCTCCTTATACATTCAACTTTCTCTAGCATGGTTGTCTTCACCAGGGAGACTTGGCTTCACATGACATGTCTGTAGTATGTCAGCCTCAATTTTGTCATTCTTTCTTCTAGGGAAAACTCTATGATACATTTGTTCATCTTTCTGTTTGTCTCCTCCAGCACCATGTTTTGAATGCATCAATTTTCATAGATTCATAGACTACTAGAGTTGGAAGGGGCCAAGAAGGACATCGGGTTCAATCTCCAGGGCTCTGTCCTGGGGCCAGTCCTGTTTAATCTTTTCATAAATGACATGGAAGAAGGGGTGAACAGTCTGCTGATCAAATTTGCAGATGATACTAAAACAGGGGCAGTGGCCACAACTGAGAAGCAGGTACTCCAGATCCAAAAGGATCTGGACAGACTGTGGAAGTGGGCAGGAGACAACAGGATGCCGTTCAATGTGGATAAGTGCAAGGTTTTGCACTTGGGGCATAGGAATGGGTGCCGTAAGTACAGGTTAGGGGACAAGTGGCTGGAGAGCAGCACTGGTGAAAGGGACCTTGGGGTGCTGGTTGACTGCAGGCTAAACATGAGTCAGCAGTGTGATGCGGTGGTCAAGAGGGCGAACACCACCCTTGGTTGCATAGCCAGAAGCGTGGCTTCTAGATCAAGAGAGGTATTACTACTACTCTATAAGGCTCTGGTGTACCCACAACTGGAGTTTTGTGCTCAGTTTTGGGCCCCTCATTAAAGCCATGTTAGAGTCAGTGCAGCGTAGGGCCACAAGGTTTGTGGCCAGTTTGCAGGGGATGCCATATGAGGTGAGACTGAGGGAACTGGGTCTCGTCAGCCTGGAGGAGACACAGAGGGGATCTGTTGGTGACAAACAGATATGTGAGGGGGTGTCACATGGAGGTGGGTAGAGACCTGTTCTCCGCTGCAGAGGAAGGCAGGACACGCTCCAGCGGAGCAAAGCTCAGGGAACCCAGGTTCCCTTTAGATGCCAGGAAGCACTTCCTGACAGTTAGGACCCTGAGGGTATGGAATGGGCTTCCACGGGAGGTGGGCCGGTCCCCATCAGTGAGGGTGTTCAAGGATAGGATAGACATGCACATGTTAGGCATGTCGTGAGCGGAGCCAGCTGGAGCCGGGGGTCAGACTAGATGGCCCGAGAAGCCCCTTCTGACTCTGTTTCTATGTTTCCTGCTGTTGCAGGGCACCAGTTTTCACCATCCCACTCAACTTTTCTTTCCGTCAGCTTTCCTCATCGTCCAGCTTTCACACCCATATGTAGTGATTGAGAATTCAAGAGTGTGGATGATTTTGGCCTTGGTCTTCAGTGAAATGTCCTTACGCATGATGATCATTTCTAATTCCTTCACTGCTGTCCTTCAAAGTCCCAATTTTCTTCAAATTTCTTATTTTTCAGCTGCAGTCCTGCTTTTGCACTTTCTTCTTTCACTTTTATTAGCAGACATTTCAAGTCATTGCTGCTTCCTGTCAGTAGTGTTGTGAATACCTCCCTGAAATCTGGCCTCCCCCACTCCCATTTTGCCACTTTCAACTACATAGAAAGCCTGTATTTCCATCAACATCCACACAGTGGCGAGAGAGAAACCCAGCTAGGAATGGCAGGGCTTGGCAAAACACATAGAGAAAGCACCCCATCTATTCTCCCAGTAGACATACTAAGAAAAAAGTCATAACATAGTATATGCTAATACACCAAAGCACACTGATGAAAAGTGCATCAAAAACAAAACAAAACAAAAACCCAAACAAACTCCTTACATGCCAGAATCTTCCTTTATGTTCAACACTAACTTAAACACCAGATGAACATATTTTTCTGACAGACCTAAAACAAACCTGATTTTAAGCCTTTGCTTTGTATGTGTTTGCTTTAAACATTCATTGTTTTTATTAATTTTTTATGTAAACTACTTTAGCCATCACTGTCCACAATGGAAAGTGGGATACAGGCATTATAAATAAATACATACTTATATCAGATTGGAATAATATTTACTCAGGCTCTGGGGTTGCCAACCAACCTGTCTTTGTACTTGGGCCTTTAATTGCAGGTTGTAATGGAGACATTAGCAGGGCTTCTTACCAATCTATATACTGTGAAAAGCTTCCCCTGCCCATGTCTGCACATGCTGTTAAAGGAACAAAGGCAAGTGGGGCTGCATTTGTTGATGGCTGGCAGCTCTACTCAGAAGTCGCCCACTAAATTAGATCTCAGGATTCACTCACTAGTAGCTATGTATTGTGGGACTGCCAGGTACCTAAGGAAAAATCATACAAACCTGCTTCTGTAACAGAGGTTTGATATACAGAAATCATGGTGAAGCTTTCCAAGGCACGTGTACTGTCTGAAGATCAAACTGTTGTTAAATCAGCAGCTAAAGGGCCAGTTTAAAAAGCAGACAACCTTACCTTCTTGGTTAAGGCAAAAAAATAGGCAAAAGTCATCTTTATGATGGGTTTCCCTGATATGACATCCCATCATGGGTGACAAGCCATGGTGAGTTGTATCATGCAAACCCAAACCAACTTCCATAGGGTGGCTTGTATTAAGGCAACATGGCTTGTTAGAAGGGATTGCAACAACATTACTGTTGTCTGAACCAGCTGACTGACCCCACTGTGGATACTGGGAATTGGCTAGTCAGCCACTTAAGAATACATTGTAAAAAATATTATTGGTGCTTTGCTGATGTGTAGCTACACACTTACAGAGGTCCCCAAATGGGCAGCCTCACCTGGCTGAT